CTCACATGGCTGTTCTACGTCCAGTGTTCTGTCATTCCTGTTCAGAATAACACAGGTGAAGAGTTTGTAGATGACAAACAGTAAACAGATTGAACGATAGTTACTGATGTGGAGATCGCCCTTTTCGTACAAGAACATGGTTTTGCTTGCCTTCCAATGAATGCGATCTTTTCCTTCCAACAGGAAAAGTTTGAACAGCTGAGCCAGATTGCTGACGAGGACTGACAGAAGACTCCTCAGAAACACTCGTCTTGTCCGAATCAGGTGCTGTTTAATTCTTCATCGACGAAATAGTCCATCGAGTTTCGGAATGGAGATCAAGAGGGATGGCAATTCCACCACCACCAAATGGAGGTTACCAAGTTCGTTAGTCGACTGTTAGGAAGATGCCGTTATTGAGGACAACAAGGAGGAATAGAATCAGCTTATTCACCATCTCCACATTAGTGCTATGAAACTCGAGAGTTCTAAAGACACCAAAGGACATCTGTCTCCAAAAACACTCGAGCTTATACGTAAGCGCGGAATCACTCGAGCCGTAAACAACCGCCCACTGACCTCCGAAATTGTAAAACAATGCAGAAAAGGATAAAAAGAAGATTTTAAACAGGAGAGCGGCAGTCATGGTTGAAGCTGTAGAAGCTGGAAAAAACATTTGCTGAGCCCACCGAAGCATCGACAATTACAAAACTGAGATGAACGCCCAGACGGAAGAGTTAGAGCGTCGAGAAAGGCAATAGAGAAAATCGTTCATGATCACTAGCCGAATCTCCTCGATAGTCACGTTCTTAGCCCTCATGCGAAATAATGGAGGAAAATAATATTTTCCTAGCGGTTCTCGCATCCGAAATCCGACGTGCAATTTCGTCGGTGAAGAATCACAAAACGGAAAAGAAATGTCTAAACACCTGAATGAGTTTCCGCCAGTTTTCATCAACACACTGCCTCAGCTCTTCAGACCTGTCAGAGTCCAAGGTTCCTATTCAACGGAAAATCGGCAAGATCGCTTTTTTTCCCAAGAAGGATGACCTCCACAATATCGACAACTATCGCTCAATCTGCCTGATCTCTGTCTATAAACTTCAGTCGAGTCATCCTAAAAAGGACTGACAGAATACTGAACGAAGGACAGCCATGTGAGTAAGCAGGGTTTTGTAAAGGAATTAGTATGATGGACCGCATCTACACAATAACAGGCCTCACCCAAGTATCGCGAGAGTACAAAAGTCTGCTCCATCTCACTTTCATCAATTTACAGAAAACTTTTGTCTCACTTGATGTGTAAGCACTCAAGGAAGCCCTTGAGAGAGTATAGCAACTCAGTATCTAACGACTCTTCATGAGCTATAAAAAAGTTTCACAGCCATAATATCACCATTATATAACGATATTAACATCAACGTCAAAGGAAAAGAAGGCAAGGCAATCCATCCCGCGAAATCGTTTATTTATGTTCTCCAGGATGTCATGCTCACGTAGGGATTTGACAACATGGTTATTAAAATCGATGCTCAGAATGTACACCATCTTCGCTTTGCTGGTGAGATCGTTCTTGTAATACTATGTATTATTCGGACCGAACTAATGCTTGCCGACCTTGATAGTGTCTAGAGAAAGATTGGTCTTCCCTCGGCCAATCTCACAAAACAACGTTCGTTAGGGAACCAGATTGGTTTCGTATGCCGGATTCACACTCAGTGGAATGAATATCTCCGAATTCTCTAACTACATCTAGGCCAGGAAATCAACACGGTGAACGGCTTATTTCAGAGAAAAAGGAAGCGAGTGGCTTAGAGAGTTTTCAAGAGCATCAAGGACATCGTGAGGAGAACAAATAACACACGACTAAGTCCCCATCATTTTGACTCCACGATTCTTCCTCGCTTAATAAACGCGTCAGAATCCTGTTCACTGCATAAGAAAGATGCAGGGCGGTCACTCAGCATTATAGAACGCGCAGTCGAAAGTACGATGCTAGGAGTATCACGCAAACGAAGGGGGATATGATGCTCCAACCTGCGTCAACGATCAAGAATCAAAGACGCTGTTCTTAAATGCTAACTGTCCAAGATGCGTTACGCCGGACACTTAATGCGTACGAATGACAACCGATAGACAAAAACAATCAGTGGCTAGAATACTCGGTACGTCAAACGTACTGCAGGAAAACCAGTGACCCAGCGGTCAGCGTTCTTCTCCAAAACCCTAGGAGAAAGATATGGTGATAAAAGAGTCCATTAAGCGAGTAGAACATACGAGGCGACCCTTGCACGCGAAAAGGAAGTGGAAGAGTTAGTGTTGTCCACTTGAGTCAATCGACTGTAACGGAAAGACAGGTGATACAGGCGATAAGAGGGAAGGAAAGAAAAGATCAGGCACTTAAAGTGGAACAGATGATATTGCCAAAAAACATTTGAAAAGGCTGACTTTCTATGAACCTCGGCATAAATAGTTGATATATTTATTTGTATGATCTTATACCACGGATCTCCCTCATATGAGGGATCCCAACAGCCGGTTAGCCGCGAGGCTACGTAGCGTGTCCCCAGGTGGTGGATAAGGGGTTAATCGCGGACCAAAAGCGACCTTTGCTTCCCTGAGACGCAGGTAGATCCAGGGGATGAACACCCTGTTTCTGCTGCGCCGATTTGGCACATACTTTCTGTATTTACGAGGCGTATTCATGCATGCGTGTGTGGGTGCGTTCTCGCTTGTGCGGATTGTATTCTATGAGTCAATTCGGCCAAAAGCCTGCAATCAAGTGACAGGGAGTGAAGTATACGGGAGGCGGTTAGGAGTCGCCTCCAACAAATAAGTTCCACGTCAGCCCCGAAAGAGACGGGTAAGCTACCCGTGAGTATACTCAGCCCCCACATTCAGAGCACAGCAATCTATAGAAACGGGCCTCATACCTCTAATCCTGAAAGGGCCCCCAATACGGCAGCGTTGGACAGGACAAGTATGGAGAGGCTACTAAAATCTCAGGACCAATGGAAGCTGCCTGGATCACGAAGAACTAAGGTGACGATCTATACCTACAATGAACGTAAACTTGCATCCGAGTCCTTGATAGAAGACTTGATCATTCAAGCGAGAAAGATAAGGTACGTCGTCATCGACCTGGCCAAGACGGGACGACGCCACCATGTTATTTTTCAGGAAGAGTGACCTACAGGATATCGGCAACTATCGCCCAATCAACTTGCTGCCTGTCGTCTACAAACTTTTCACTCGAGTCATCCTAAACAGGATTGACAGAACACTGGACGAAGGACAGCCATGTGAGCAAGCAGGGTTTCGAAAAGGATTTAGTACGATGGACCACATCCACACGGTAACACGGTTCATTCAAGTATCGCGAGAGTACAAAAGACCGCTCTGTCTCAGTTTCATCGATTTGAAGAAGGCCTTTGACTCAACTGAGATAGTAGCAATCATGGAAGCCTTTGATAGTCAAAGAGTCCCAACTCAGTACATAAAGATTCTTCGTGAGCCGTACAAAAATTTCGCGACCAAGATATCACCATTCTATAACGATATTATCATTAATGTCAAAAGAGTGGTTAGGCAAGGTGACCCAAGCTCGCCGAAATTATTCACCACCATACTAGAAAATGTTCCATTCACGCTCAACGAAACGAATATCTCCGAATGCTCCAGTTATGTCTATCTAGGTCGGGAGATCAACATGTTCAAGGACTTAGCTCCAGAGTTCAGCAGAAGGAAACGAGCGGTTTTGGGAGCTTTCAAGCATCGATGACGTAGTGAAGATAACAAACACCCGACTCCATGCTCTTCTTTCCGACTCGATGGCGCGATAAACCATTGCGAGGTCCAATCATTATAGCAGTTCGAGATGAAGCGATAATCAACCACTGGTCGAAAAATAAGACATGATGCGTATCACATGAAGTACTGCTGTGAGATGGGTTTTGGTAATCGACGAGACGGAGCTACTTACTTTCCATTCATACGTGTGCTTTATGTTGTGTTGTACTATGTTTATCAGCCTAACTCTTGTCTACGATGAAAAAAAAATCGTCCACCCTGCAAACATATTATCGTCAGCTACTGATAATCGGTTCCACACCATATTTCTTTTCACTCATTGCACACTACTACTATACTCGTCATGTCATCGATCACCATACCAAAGGGAATATTGTTCATCTTTCCAAGGCAGTGCATTTCCTCAATACGAAGAGACTGGCCTCCCATCTGAGGGTGCAGCAAGCCGATTGCGATCGGGTCATCAGTTGTTTGGTAGAGCATACTTATTCGTCATGAGTAGGACAGAACTGCTTGCGGGGGCACTACCACTTATCCTACCTCTTATGACCAAGCCTTATTTGTTCAATAGAGTCATATTCATTGACTACAGCAAATTTCGTCTAGAAGCTAACATTGAAGTGCTTTCCACCTGCCCCGGGCAATTCCTTGAGTCTCTTTCTAATACTAAATGCATACCGACGAGCCGTGCTTAGTGATGTGAAGATTTCGCCAAGCAAGCAACCATGCGAGGCGATTTGTAAATGCCAAAAGATTAGCTGCAATGAATAGATTCTGCTTCGAACTGGGATACACCGACTTGCAGGCAGCTTTTATTTCCACATCGCAAGACTCCCACATGGGTTACGATGTCTCTTAGATGTCAAAATAAACAACCGTCACTCTATAGTAATCTTCTTGAAAGCTTTCAGCACTTAAAAGCAGGTATATTTCACACCCGAAATAAACATTTCCATCACCATTATGAAGGGTGAGCAAGCATATGGGAAACGAAGTGTAAATTTAAGGAAGGTACCTCATTAAACCTAATATTTCACATGCAGATGAGGAAGACAGTGCACACATTTCGTTAGTTTGTATTCACCCAAGATTCTACACCTCATAACCAGTAAGAATTTATACGACCAGAACAACATCATCATGGCCATAAAATAGCGCTTAACAGAACTTCCAAACTACATGCCACGGTAAGTCGTATAATAACAAGTGATTCACTTTTGTTCAACAATCCTTTCACTCTCCGAAATCTTACGCAAAAGCTCCGTCCTTTTGGCATGCTGTCGTTCTTCTCTTCTCTTACGTACCTCCTTGTTCTTTTCACGACGAGCTTGTGCTTGGTCACTGCAAGATGTGAAAATGTATTTTAAGAAAGAACACAAATAAATAATATGTACATAATGACTAAGTGAATGCTAATGTGAATACTAACGCCAGTTGCTTCGCACGCTTGTTCTCACTCTTCTTCCGGAAAATGTACTCCATAAGATGCTTCTTATTCTTAAAGTTGTTGCCCTTCGCTCTGAGATAAAGCTCATGGTACAGCTTTCTGTCAATCTTCTTTGATTCACGATATCTTTTAAGTAAATTGCGTAGCACTCGCATACGCCTCATCCAAAGAACTTTTTCTGGCATACGAGCATTTTTTGTACCATGTCTTTTACCATGACCAGAGTGACGACCCTTAAAAATTGTACCTACATACGCAAATTAGGGAGAAAATAAACGTAACAAAACCATATGTTTAGCAACCATACCTTCCTTCTAGCTTCTTCATAAAGGCGTGCGCGGTAGCGCGAGTGCACGACTTCGGGCTTTCGAATGATAAGGCCATCTTTTATTAACCGTCGGACATTTTGTCTTGAGTTTGCGTTAGAAATCTCATTGACTTCATTAGGATCCAACCAAATTTTGTTCTTTCCGCATTTTAGAACAGACGCCGCAAGACGCTTCTGTAGACGTAGGTTACTGAAAGAAACCTAAACCTGATCACGAAAAGCCTTTGCCTGTGTATTGATGACATCAACATCCAGTGATAACAATTTTTAATAAGTATATGTATACACATACATGTATATGTACATGTATATACATGTGTACATGTTCCACATGAATATACACTGTAATTCACTGTTTTCTTGATGAGTAACCATCATACTGTTAGTAAGGTATCTATCCATTCACAATTCTTGACATTTCAGAGGTTTCGCCCTCTTCAAAGCCAGGAACAATGAAACTAACACGCAAATCACTCGGTCAAACACCATTACATCATACTGCATTTTATACTATATTTGAATACAATATTTATACGTTGCATATTATTGCTTTCCTAACGATTTACCGCCCCATCGTGGCTGGGAGGTGTCCCTGGGCCCCGGACTGCAATGTACAGTGGCGGGATTCATACCTACAGCAGAACCTCCCAAGCTGAGAAGGAGTCCGGCGTATCCATCAGGAAGCCCAGTTAAGAGTAAACCAAAACCAGGATCCACCACCGTATTGGTATCAAACTAGTCGTACGGTGGCAAATCTCCCTGTGATCCACAAAGGCCGCGACTGCTCGTGGTGGTTGCGACCTGGGGCAAACTTTGGCCAGGCCGACCTCGGGACTCCACGGAAACAGAGCTAAACCAAGAAAACTCCGATGAATGAAGATTACGCTGGACCCATCAGAACCAGTAAGAGCAGGTCGTCCAAACGTCCAAGTAAGTATATCACTACATTGTACTTTTACATCCCTATATATGTATATATATATATAAATACGCATATGTGTGCACATATAGAGACATGCGCAGATACGTTTGTATATGTAGAAGTTCCTATCAATATCTATATGCGCAGCCAGCAAAAGTACGTGAAACAGCGTATCCACACTACTTTATTAGAGTTGTATTTAAGCAGTCACACTTATTGTTCCTACACGAAAAGAACAGAGGAAAGTCCCTCATCAAGTATATGCATAAATATGTACCCTTCCTTTGATACACTTACACGAGGCTGATAAACATTCTTTCTGTTCTCGGCTGTTTCGAAAGGTTATCACGCTTATCGAGGAAAGAATATATATTGATTAGTCAAACAGAGGTTAACAGAAAGTCGGTTTCATTTTAAAATATATGCATAAAATCCTATAAAGACCAAGAACTAAGTACATACCTCATTTGCTGCTGTCCTGTAAGAGAGCTGCGAACAAAACTGTCCCATACTTTCTCCGCTGATCGATAAAGGGCTTAGATTCGCATGTTCGCGTGTAGATGCCGTTACGGTGCAGTTTTCGTCCCACCATTTTACTTTTAAAAAACGTGTTCAGGGACCATTCTTATAGTTTCATTCCTTGATTATCAACATGACATTCCTTTGTATTCGTGCGAAATCTCCTATTTATGTGCTCCCAAATCGAACTAGTTGGTTGGTGTTTTCTTCTTGAAGAGACGCAAAGTTGTTAACAATAAGACTTATAATAGTTGACATTTCGGTGGTTTCGCCTCCATCAGAGCCTTAAAAGGTCAAATTGACGCGGGATCTACGCAATCCAAGCAGAAAAAACTCGTTACATAAATGGTGCACAATTTGCCTTAACGGTAGACGCAGTGATTTCTTGAGTTCGTGTACGGTCTACACGATCTCTTGTAAAGTGACCGCAGACAAATGTATTGGCGAAACGGATAGACCACTTTGTGTCCATATAAAAGGACGCCTAGACGGTAACTGTGAAGTTTGAAAAATACTTCAGCAGAATGCGTCGTTTTCTTGTTCAGCAATCGCGAGGTTTTTAAACAGCATACATTTACTTCCATAGGGAAACACAATACAATACAACGCTAGCTGACGTTTCGGCAGTATCGCCTTCTTCAGAGCCTGGAAAGGTATACTGATATACAATCTACTAGGCCAAACGCTTCAATAACACTTACAAAAAGACGAAAAACTCTCTGGTAATTACATGATCAACAGCTTCTCGAAAAACTCACCGCTTTTTTCGTGACTTCCAATGAGGAAGTTTAGAACAGCTGAAGTTTCGAGAAGCTGTTGATCACGTAATTACCATATTTTCTTTTGTAAGTGTTATTGAAGCGTTTGACCTAGTAGATTGTATATCAGTATACCCTTCCAGGCTCTCAAGAAGGCGATACTGCCGAAACGTCAGCTTGTGTTGTACTGTATTGCGTTTCTCTATGGAAGTAAATGTATGCTGTTTAAAAACCTCGCGATTGCTGAACAAGAAAACGACGCATTCATATTCCATTGCCGAGGTTAGTAGAAAGTCGATCCTGGGAACTTCAGCAGACTTGTTTTAGATTCCTGTGTCAGAGTCACCTCCCATAGGGCACAGAGCCATAACGGAGAAGATTTTGAAAGAATTCACCACTCTGATACAGGAATCTAAAACAACTACGTTAAAGTTTTCAGGCATTCCGGACCACCTGTCGTTCTGTTGATAGTCGATGGACTTGAGGACGCGCCAGTAAAGTTCCCACTTTTCCCTGTCGTGTTCAAGAGTAGCCCAGTGGGTTCTGCTTGGTCTAAAAAGTCGTTAAGCATCACATCTTTCTTTTAAGATTTTCGTGAACTCCGACTATCGCGTCGGTGATTTTCCTGCAGTATGTTTGACATACCGAGGAATCCAGTCACTAACGGCACTTGTCCATCGGTTGCCGTCCACACGCATTACATATCCAGTTCTCCTCATCTTCGACGGTTCGACCTAAAGAAAGGCGTGTTTGATTTTTGATCGTTGATGTGCGGATCGGAGCTACAGATTTCTTCCTTCAATTGCGTGATACGTGAGACTCCCCAGCATCGATCTTTCGACTGCGCGTTCAACAACGCTGAGTGACCTTTCATCCTGCTTACGCAGCGACAGGTTTCTGACTCATGCGATGCTCTTGAAGGCTCCGCAAGCCGCTCACTTCCTTCTGCTCAACTCAGAAACTGAGTCTTTTATCGTGTTGATTTTCCAATCTAGATGGACGTAGCTGGGGCATTCGCAGATATTCGCTCTTATGGGCGTGAATTGGGCATACGAAACCCGCCCGTTCCTCACTAATATCATTTATGTGAGATTTAGTCGAAGACCAATTTTTTTGCAGGCGTTATCAAAGTCGGCTAGCATTCGATCCTGGCTAATGCTTGGCGTTATGAGCGCGATGTCATCTACAAAGCAAAGACGGTATGGTTTCCGAACGTCGATTTTCACTTCCATGCTGTCCAATTCCAATTTTCGGACGACGTTCTTGAGGGTGTCAGCAAATAATTTTGGCGAAACGCTATAGCGTTGTCGGCTTCTTAGTTACCTCTTTTCACGTCGATTTTAATATCACTGTAGAGTAGTCATATCTTAGTTGATGAATTTTTATATAACTCATGAAAAATTTTTATGTACTAATTAAGGACGCCGTGGGTGACCAGGGATTCCAGGAATGCTTGTATCTCAACTTATTCAAAAGGTTTTTTTTAACTTCCAAATTGATTTTCTTTTAAACTTGACAGCGATCGATAATACGGTGTCTTTCTTGATGAGCGAACACGAATTGTTACAGCATTTATTAATAACTTACGTTCCGTCGGTTTCGTCTTCTTCAGAGCCTGGAAAGCTCAAATTGACACGCAACCTACTCAGCCAAGCACTTTCGTAATCGCTGCAGACAAAACTTAACGCATAAGTTCTCATCCAAATATTAAAGATTTTTTAAGCACTCACTATTTCGTTTTTCGTATGCCTCATAGTTATCTGGTTGAGCCTCACACACAAAAAAGAAGGCGCTTGTGAGAAACATGTTTCGAATGGCCTCCAGTGTGTGCAGAGAGAGAGGATAAGGAAGAATCCCAAAACTGGCACGGGAGGTAGCTATTTCCGATGCTTGTGGAGGTGAAACTTCTTAGGTTATTTGGAAGAAAAAACCACACCTCCAAACGATAACTTCAGCGAGAATAAAAGCTCTAAAACTCTTGGCGTTAATCAATCCCTGAGAGAAGTCTGGTACCAATTTGCTGACCCTAGAAGGATTAAAGGTTTGGTGGGTTATGTGCGTGGGGATCGATTCCACGTGTGTTACAAGGTACCTCCGACCACTGCGCCACACGCGCCCTTCAGCGAGGATAAGGTCCCGTTAGTCCTGCCCCACATTTCCAACGGAGAAAGTACAGCCATAAAACGTTGCTTAAAACGGTCCAATGTATAGAGTACGGTAATAGCTATTTAAATACCATTGAGCACCCTGTGACGCTAGTTCGCAACTACCTGTATGACCATCCATGTGCAACGCAAAATGCTTAACATGCGCTAACGTTAGAGACGTTGTTGCACGAGTTCGGGTATGGTGTACCTAATCTCTTCTGCAGCGTGTGGGGAAGAATATATTGGTAAAATGGGTAACCACTCTGCTTCCGATAAAAGAAACCCTAGTCGGTAAATTTAGGATTAATTAAAATGCATCACTAGGGCGCGCATGGGGCACACAGACAGAACGAAAACAATTTTGAAGTAGAAGTCACGATCCTTGCCCAAGAATCCATAAAACTCTTGAAGCGTTTCCGATTATTTCCAAAAATCCAAAACGAACCGCAAGAAGGAGTGTCTTATGATCACGCGTGACCTAGCACAATACCTCAGGCTGATTCTCTGACTCGAGCCATGCACATTTTTCACCCGTGTAAGACTCTTTGCGGCTGGTCTCAACTGGAAGGCTTACATGGAACAAAACGGTGAGTGTTTAAAAGAAGCTGTTTATTATGCAAGTAAAAGTTTATGTGTCAAGTTTTGTCTGCTGAAGTTATGAAAGTGTTTGGCTGAGTAGGTTGTGTGTCAATTTAACCTTTCATAGCTCTGAAGAGGGCGAAACCGCCGAAACGTCGGCTACACTGAATAAACAAATGTTGCAACAATAACCTCGGCTTTGCTCGTCGTGAAAAACACTGCATTTTTTTTACTGACGAAGGTTAGACAGACTGACCCCTTGTACTTCCGCGATGCTTGAGTGAGTCTTTTTATCGTGTGGATGTGGTCTGTCGTACTGAATCCTTTTGAAAACCCTGCTTGCTCACATGGCCATTCTTACTCCAGTGTTTTGTCAATTTTGTTTAGGATGATCCGAGTGGGCAGTTTGTAGACGACAGACTGCAAGCTGACTGGGCGATGGTTGTAGATATCTTGGACGTCACCCTTCTTGAACCATAACACGGTCTTCTCGGTCTTCCATTGAAATAGCAACCTTGCATTATGACAGTTAACATGTGAAGAGCACAGCCAGTGTGCTTGTGAGGATTAACGGGAGGCTCTTCAGGTGTATAGGTCCTGTCCCATTCGAATCAGGTGTTCGATTCTTCACCAACGGATAGGCATGTCGGGTTCCGGAAGGGAGGACCGGTAAGACGACATATTCGTTCACCTATATTTCATATGCGAGCACAAGGAGGTGGCTATCGAAGAGATCTGAATAGTAATCGTGGATGATTATCTCAATTGAGGTATATAGTGATGCTGGGATATTTGCAAAAAACCAGGCCGCAAGTGCTTGCGGTGGGGATCGAACATGCTATTACTATTTCCAGAGGCTAACACATTCACCGCCACACCATGCAGTTCCTTCATTTCGCCTGTCTCTCAGCTAGTTTTCTAACTAATAGTGCCGTCAACAATCGAAAGAATCTTTTCTGTCGCCTTTCTGCTATGTTTTGTCAGTTCGAACGTGAGTTGACGATTGCCTGTAGCTTGTGCGATTCCACGCTGTCGTATCAGCTTGAGCATTTGTCGAGACAGACGTCTCTTGGTGACTTTCGCACTCTCAGCTTTCATAGCACTACCGTTAATATTTTGAATAAGCCAGTACTATTTCACGTCGATCTTGTCAATAACGGCATTTTCCCAAGATCTTCCTAATGGTTTGAATAAATCGCAGTTTATTACGACTTTTTTTTGAAGTTAGCGGGTTTCTTTCCTTTCCGCGAAAACTGGAATGTTGCACCAATGATACGATGATCTGATCCCGCATAGAATTTTGGGATCGGTTAGGCAAAATCAACTTACTATGCCATAGTCTTTCATATTATTATGCCTTTCACTAGTTGATAATGATACCGACTTCTGCAGAATGAATTGTCCGGGAAAAAACATATCGTTCTCACTGGACAGTCACTATTTTTAACAGCCAGTATCCTTTATAAAAGGGCGTCGTTGGGTGAGTATGCCTCATTCGAGAGATGCCTCACTGAGGAAGATCCGACTCCATACGAAGAAGAAGCGGCATCGAAAAAACGAGCAACTGTGGACCATCGACTCTGATCAAGGGCTCTGATGAAAATGAAGACATCGAAACGTTGGCCGAATAAGGATTACTTATCAACCTCGTGTGAGCTTAACGGTTTAAACACATATTACAGGGTCTATTTCATTGTGGTACCTTCCAATGGTACACTACCACGTTCGCCACTGAATGCAGAGCATCTGGATTTGCGAGTTACCATGCATGATCTCGGTCATCATGATAAACTCGGACTATCGCTCACATTGCTTGTTCCATTCTATACGCTGAGACGGAACAGTTTCAACTTCCAGAAAGGGAACAGAGAAAATCACTCACGATTACTACATGGATCTCTCCAATAGCCACGTTCTCCTGCTTTTATACAAAAAAAAACGAGGATGGACATGTCTTCCAAAGGGTTCTTACTTCTGAAATCCAATGTGCTGTTTCGTGAGTAAATAATCAAAGAGCATCAGGGCTGGACAGTATAAGATCTGATCACCTGAAGAACCTTCCGCTAGTCATAATAAACAAACTGGCTCAGCTCTTCACACGTTAGTTCTCAAAATGCAAGATTCTTATTCATTGAAAGACCAGCACGACCTCCAAGATATCGGCAATTATCGCCCAATTTGCTTATTCTGTCGTCTGTAAACCTTACACTCGAGTCATCCTAAACAGGATTAGCAGAGCTCTGGATGAATGATCGCCATGTGAGCAAGCATCCCCTCCGAAAAGTTTCTTTATGAAGAAGCGATAACAAAATTAAATGAAATATCGCGAGAGTATAAGAGACAGATCTATCTCACTTTCATCGACTTAAATAAGGCTTATGACTGAATTTTAGCTTATTATTTACTGCCTAGTCTTTTTTTTTTAACAGCAGGGTATATTGCGAAATATAACTTTAATGATGGTGAGATATTCGCAAAACCGCGGACTGCAGGTGTCTGCGGTGGGCAACGAACGCGCTATTGTCCTTTCCGAGGAGTAAGGCTTTCACCACCACACCATGCAGGTCCTTCGTTTCGCTTGTCTCTCAGCTAGTTCGATTGATCTTTTCACACGGCTCTTCACACGATACCTGTCTGAATGCAAGATCCCTACTCAGTGGTGGATCAACAAGACCGTGTTATTGTTCAAGATGGGTGACCTGCACGATATCGGCAACTATCGCTCAATCTGTTTGCTGCCTGTCGTCTACAAACTTTTCATTCGAGTCATCCTAAACAGGATTGAAAGAACACTGCACGAAGGACAGCCATGGTTGCAAGCAGGGGTGCGAAAAGGATTTAGTACAGTGGACCACATCCACACGATAACAAAACTTATTGAAGTATCGCGAGAGTACAAAAGGCCGCTCTGTCTCCTTTCATCGATTCGAAGAACGCCTTTGACTCATTTGAGATAGAAGCAGTCATGGAAGACCTGAACAGGCAGGACATCCCTAATCAGTATATATTCTTCGTGAATTATAAAAATTTCACAACCACAACCAGCTTTCTACAACTATATTAACATGGACGTCAATTGAGAGGTTAGGTAAGAACATGCCTCTTCGTGGAAATTATTTACTGCGCAGCCACACTCGAAAATGTCATGCGAGTATTAGAATAGGACAAGATGGGTGTGAAAGTCGATGGTTGACAATTACACGCTCTTTACTTTCCTGATGACATCGTTCTTACAACAATCATTAGCCAGGTAGAACGATTGCTAGCCGACTTTGATAACACCTGCAGAAAGATTGATCTTCGAATAAATCTGAGGGAAACGATGTTCACAAGGAATGGGTTGGCTTCGTACTCCCCATTCAACGGTGCGAATATTTCCGAACGCTCCAACTAGGTCTGTAGGTCGTGAAGACATGATGAACGACTTAGCTCAAGAGTTGAGCTGGAGGAAGCGAGCGGCTTGGGGAGTTTTAAGAGCATCGGGAATGTAATGAACAGAAAAGGGAACAGCTTTCTCTGTATCCACCTTTTCGACTTCGCGATTTTTCCTACCTTAACGTATACCTCAGGAACCTCCTCGTTGTGTAAGCAGGACGAAAGATTACTCAACGTTATTGAACGCGCACTCGAAGGGACGATGAAAGGAGTCTCTCGTACCTCGCAGGTGAAAGAAGTGATCCGAAGCTCCGATTTACGTTAACGATCAAAAATCAAAGGCATCGTTCTATACACCAAACTGCCGAAGATAAGGTGGGCCGGGCGGTAATGAGTTTGAACGATAGATGATGGACAACAGCAGTCAGTGACTGGTCTCCTCAGGATATCTAACGTATTGCAAGAAGACCAGCTATATGTTAGTCAGATTTCTTCACAAAAACACTAGGAAAATACATGATGCTCAATGAGTTAGGATTTTTCTGCGTTTTTGCATAGTATCAAGTTCAATCGGTTTAGTGGGAACACTGTATAGAACTGATTAACGCTAGAACTGGTTTGATAACAATTAGATGCAATGCAGGCCAAATCCGAAAAACCCACTTATTTAGCGTAAAGTGCTGTTGGATTACTCGTCTTTCTAGCTTGTAAATCTGTTTTTGATAGCTGTTTCAAGCTATCCACGCTACTCTTTAATGTCGTTACCAAATTTCACTTTTCAGAATTTCATCTTGTCGTACATTCTATAAGGAAATTCTGGTTAAATTTATGGTTTTAGTTTTTAGTTTAGTCTTAGTTATTCTTAGTTTCAGTCTTCCTTTAGTTTTCTCAAGTTCTTTTTAGTTTACTTTTATGATTCTTGTGTCTGCAGTGGTAACGGAGCACGCTATTACCCTTTCCGCGGGCTAACGCGTTCACCACCACACCATGCGGGGTCCTTCGCTTCGCCTGTCTCTAAGCGATCTAGCCTAACGTTGTTATAAGTACATAAAGGACTGTAGATGACGATGAAGAACGTGGCGGAATACACCTCGATCATGTAGAGATAGACCATGCGTATTAAAGACATGACAAGAGATCAGCCAGAAGATCGGTGGAGTGCATTTCACCAATCGACGTGATTGTAGTTCATGTTGACCCTTTGTAATTGAAGGTGTACACCAGTTACGAATACTCCGAGTACTTGCAGACATCAGCATACATAAAACACGACCTCTCTGGACGATGGTCGAGAATAGTTTGAATAAATGACAGTTATCCAAGAGTGCTTACGTTCGTTATGGAAGTGCATTTGAGCATCCTCGTAAGCGCTCTCTAGAAACACTTAACAAAACGGACATTCTGTTAAGTTGTTCCAATTTTCAAACTTGTTAACGACCTCTTATCGGACGGAAAATGATGCATCTGGTGCAACTTCATAGGCATACCTGAATATGAAACTACCGGCATAACATGAAAGCAAATAATTCCTTCAACAGGCACTGCTTTCTAAGGAGACGTTTTCTCCGGTCAGTACATATGTTCATTAACTACTAATGGACATATAGAGGAAGCCTACGCAGTTATTTCTAATAAGTAAAAGTACAGAGAAGAAACTGGTTGCAAGCAGTTTTACAAAATTATCAATACCCGTCATGTTATAATCGCTAAAGTTTATGAATGTGAACTGTGTAGCTGGGACGACCATTAAAAGCAACAGCCATGATGTATCCAAATACACTGATCTAATCAGGAAACAAAAGGAAGTAGCACGGCGCATCCAGATGGAACACCGATGCAATCCTCCATGGAGCTAAAAAGGGCCCAAAACATTAAGCGCATGGTGGTCCTGAGAAGAAAACCTGTTGCCAGTAATAGGCTCTTGTCATATGGCAACGGCTGAGTTGTGTCTCTAGACTTTTTTGAGAGCTCTTTCAGTTTTATGTTAGAGGGAACATGTGTAAGGCTATTCTCCTTGTTTGTTTAGATATTCAAATGTATGTACATGCATAGACATGTTTGTATGCTTATGTGTATGTATGTGACGACTTCTTATGGTAACTAATTTCCCAAATTCATTTTTTTCTTTCCTGCTCTCTTGGCTAGTGTTGAGCGTTTAGCGGTGGTCTGACAATAAGTCAGTTCAACTTAATTATCAGACAGGTGCTAATTCCAGGATTGGAAATCGCCTTTTCAGTACGTTCTTTTGTAATCGTTCTTTTTTTTGATAAGTTCTGTTTTGTTGGCTCAAGTCCTAGTTTAGGAACTTGTGTATCAAGTGGTATGGATGATTACGAATATATTACGAGACACGACTACGACGATCAGAGCGTAAACTCCAACTTGGACTATCGTAATTCCGTTGTGCATGGAATCGCCACTCTAGTGGGTTGTTTTACTTATCTTGTGCACATTTGCTTATACAGTACTGCAACATTTTTGTTTTAGTTTCGAAGTAAGGCTAGAGTGTCGGCGCTTCATCCAGAGAGTGAGTTCGATCCGAAAGACAACCTTGGCGATGACTATCTTAACGAATGTGATGCTGTGCTCGATGTGGGTTGCTTCATATCGTTTTCGGTTCAAACGGAATATGAAAACAAGTAGAAATGTCAAGTTTCCTACCAACTTCGATCAGTTCTTCTTCATAAAGTCGTAGTTGTTATTCGATGTGGCTGTTAAGATTTTCTTATCTACTGCGATAGCTGCTGTTTTCACGATCCAAATGGCAAGAACGATTCATGTCCTTGTGATTGTTCTGCGTTTAGAAATTCTTAAGTTGGAATGAACACGAGCAACTTGATATAATGGAAAGGATTCTCAATAAAATGACCCACAATCAGCTCTTTGTTATGCAGAGATTTATTCAGCCGATGTTGCAACGCGATTTTATCGCTTTGTTACCACGTAAGTGTCTGTTGTTGTCTTCTCATTCGCGCTTTGTTTAGTCTTTCTCTTTCTTAAGGATGAAACATCCTGTTTTGGATGGGGAAATTTAAGTGTTAGGGTTTTTTAAATTAAAGGTTGTCAAAGATACTAGGTGCCGTTGTAATAGAAATGCACCTTTGCCAACATTCTGACATTCTGTCTGCCTAAAACGTGGATTTCAGCGTAAGATACTAAGGCAGGCATTGAATTTTTGTGTGACAGTCTTTTGATTTTTGAGTGTTTCACTGTGAACGAAGTTGTGTAAATGATTGAGTAGGCGGTGACCTGTCGATAATTGGCCTAATGAGTGGATAGGACTAGGGGTAAAAAGAACCAGGGGTAGGCTACTAATTCCACGACTAAAGGACCTTTTCGTATCGTAGAACCAGACTTTTGTGAAATAGTTTTCAGTCGGATATCGCTGCGCTTCGAAAAAACATTTTTTTGTCGCATTAAAGAGAGAAAAACGTTTTATTCCCACCACCACTTTGTCGCCATGAAATCCATGGCGCCTTCATATATAAACTTTTTAAACGATTTTTTATTTTGAATACGATATGTTGAAGCTCCTTTACATATGACTGCCTTGCGGGAAGCTCTGGAGACGTTTTGCGTGGAACTATTTAATTTATTGTCTTCAGATAGTCGTCGTTGATAGCTCCGTTTGCCTTCGAACTTTGTTTTCTTCTAGGGATATCAGCAAATCTGCAGATTTGCATTATACAGTGTGCTAGTTAACGGTCTGTATCCCAACCAAATGTGTTTTTTATACTGCGAGTTTTTCCTATGGGTTTATGAGCAAGTTTACAAAGAAAGATGTAGCGGGAATGTGATTTTTTTCCAATTTTTGACTCTAAGGACTTAAAGGTGAATAAAATTGGCATAAGAAGCAGATGATTCATGAAAATGTGTTACGAATTATGCAGTTTAAGACCATATGTAATAAGATATGAGGACGAACCTGTATTTGAATACAGCGTCAGTTTCCGAAAGGCAAAGCCAGAATTATTTTCTGAACAACCATACGGTTGCGGTTTGTTATTTTGCTTCCTACGGTGTCACTGTTCTTTAAAAATATTTCTTTTACCACTAGCTAAGGTTGACTGTAGATTGCTTTTTGGGAGGGTAGCACAGTGGTAGTAATGCTGATCATCACGAGCATGGTGCTAGCTAGATCCCACCCCAGGCTTACCAAACCTTCCATTGCTCTGGATTTGAGAAATTAGTACCGGCTTTGTTCGAGAGAAAACTCTGTAATCCAGTTGGCAACGCTGCTGCCCGACTATAGCAGGCCTCCAGGGAGAATTAACTTGACTAGCCTTCTACGGTGTTCAAAATGAAACGAAAATCCTAAAGCAGCAGCCGAAGCCACTCGTAAAAGTTGGAAGATCTTCGTGAATGATGGATGCAAAGGAACGAATCGAATATAAGAAGTGATTTGTTTTCAATTTGCACAGTAGACGTGAAAACGAGTTATAATTGAAGAAAACAACTACTTTCTTATTTCTGTTTCTGGTCTAGTTTCTGTGACGTAGTTATTGCATATTTAACTTGGGATTTTGTGCATTTTTTGACCTAAAAATCCTTTCTAACCTAAAGGTTTTCAACAGGTTCTTTTTTTCTGCTGAAAATAAAGTCTGATAATAATATTTGGAGCTTTTTTCTCTTCAGAACACCTGGCAGAGATGATTCTATCGAATTTGGATGCTCGTGCATTGGCTGCTTGTGAGGCCGTAAGTACTGTATGGCGAAGTGTGTTAGCGATAGGTCAGCTTTGGCGGAAGTTAATAGAACGGAACGTTCGGAAAGATAACATGTGGCGTGGATTGAGTGAAAAGAACAAGTGGTGAGCAACCTTCTTTAATACTGCATATCCTTCCTCAGCTTCACCCTTTATCTTTTGTGGTGTATTGTAACTGTTATATGTCAGTTTCTTTAATAACTCAGAGAGATTTGTTACGTCGTGAAGTACTAATTGTTACGCTTGCACATTTTTGTTTCGAACAGTCATTTGTTGGAACTCTCATTAGAGATGTAGTTGTAGGCGTTTTGTTCGCTAAAAAAGCTTTCCATAGTTTTGAAAGCTGTCCATAGTTCTATTTCCTTAACATATTCCTCTTAGTTCTATTTATACCGTAAGTAATTAATGCAGGCATGAATCTGCATTCTCAAATCTGCCACCTCTTACACTGTAAAGGTTTTAATAACTTAGTATACGTGAAGTGGGATTTGTTTACGCTATAAATGGTTTGTTTTTATTCAGGAGGAAATATATCCTTGTAAGCCGAGATTCTGCTGCTTGTGCCATTTGTGACTACTACCATGTGCCGTATGAAAAGTTGCGCGGCTCTTCTGAAATGTGCATGTTGCAGCACCGATTTTACAGGTTTAGATGTTTTTCATTTGTAGTTTTCGAGCGAGTCTCTTTTGGTTTCAATATCTTAAACTTAGTTTTCGTTTCTCGATTGTCGCGCATCTAAGGAATTTTGTCCTATTAATATTAACTTGGTGTTAAATACACACACGTACATACACATATGTGCAAATGTATGTGCATTATACGTGCGGAAATGTATGTATACATATATGATTATATGCTTGAACATGTGTATATGTATGTGTGTGCATGCGTTATATGTATACATACACAAAGATTTTGCTTCCACTACTGTCAACGCTTATATTTTTTGAGTTTCCACTGTTTTGTTCTGATTGCAATCAACAGTATGTCCGTTTCAGAGAGCTCTTTCCCAAGGTTGTGGTCGATATTGCTAAAATCGAAGCTAACTGGCGTAATGGATTTTATAAACTGAGTAGCATCAACTGTCGTTCAGAGAACAGCAAAGGTTTGTTTTATAGTTAATGAATTTGCGTGGTTATGATATCTGTCTGTTGCGAGTTTTGTTTAAGGAGTGTACTGTCTGCAGTACGACGACGAGAAGATTGTATCCGGACTTCGTGACAATGTTATCAAGGTGCGCTCGTTTTGTCTTCCGTTTTTAATTTGGTCATTGTTTTTCTTCGCTTCCAGACTACGTCGTTACTTCCTACCGTTATATGTTTTGTTTTATTAAGTAAAAGTTTAGGTGTGGAATCGTTCTGACTTGAGCTGCGAGCGGGTATTGTCTGGACATACGGGTTCCGTATTGTGCTTACAATACGATGAAAGAGTTATTATATCGGGTTTGCTTTACTCGTACGTTTTCGATTTTTTTTTCACTGTTGGGAAAGGGCACGTGTGGCAGGAGGCGCACTGCGGTACACACATGGGATCGATCCCCACGCCCATGGCTCACTAAGCCTTCCATCCCTCCGAGGTCGGCAAATTGGTACCAGACTTGTTTGGGAGCATGGCAGCACTGGTTCGATGTATCGATAGGCCACCGCGAGTCATTGTAAGGGCCAGATATGCATTCAATCACCTCCAACGATGCTTAATGAGGTCGAATGCGCGACGCATCCCTCAGGGATTGATCAACGCCGAGAGCTTTGTCCTTTTATCCTTTATTGGGAAAAGCAATTTTATAATTTGCTTGTTTTTTCGTAATAACATATTTCTAAATCAATCCTGGCATGCAAATATAGGTTCTTCTGATGCCACGGTTCGCGTCTGGGATGTTACGACTGGAGAATGCCTCAACACGTTGATACATCATTGTGAGGCTGTTCTCCATTTGAGGTTCAATGACGGGATTATGGTTACCTGGTACATTTTTTAAAGTTGATTTTCAGCGCGCTTTCGTCAACGTTGTCTGTGAGAAACTCACTACTGTTGTTCATGTATTTGTATTTATGTTATATTAGTGAACGGTACAATTTCAAAATAGTATAACGCACATTTGCTGCAGTATTTCTCCCCATTTGTTTTTTTCCTCTTTCATACCTCATTTACAGCACATGAACGTAAATAAGTTTTTGTCATACATCTTCAACATCGCTTGATATTCGTTTCCAGGGCCAAAGCCAAATACTGCTGCAGTAGTGCAACTTAGTTGGTACACTTCATACAATATCTGGCAGCTTTTCATATTGGGCCGTCTTTTTAACTGTTGTTGTAGTAGCTTTGCTCTTCGTTCATTAGTTTTTATCAGCGTTGTTTAAGCTCTAAAGACCGCTCAATTGCGGTATGGGACATGGTCTCTCCACGTGAAATCAATCTTCGTCGAGTGCTGGTTGGACATCGGGCAGCTGTAAACGTTGTCGATTTTGACGATCGGTACATTGTTAGCGCATCTGGAGATCGAACAATCAAGGTACAGTAAATCGTGTATGAAGCAATAATTACTCATCTCCAGTTTACATTTGAAAAGGAATGTTTCGTGTTTCGTAACGCTAATGCTACGTTCATTCATGAACGAGAACCGAAATGCAGTCATTGCTTACTTTCTCTCTAGTCACAATGCTTCTTGACCTGTGTAAGTTACTGGACATTTCACATTTTTGGGGCTTATTTCATGGAGTGCATCATGAGCCATGCTAAGAGAAACCACAGGAATTTTTTATTTCTCCTTCTGGAAATATTTGTCCATATTTTGATCCAATTTTCATTGTTGCCAACGTCTTTGTATGTAGTGGCTTAGTTTTAGCCCTATTTCTAATACCTTAGATTGTTTAACTTCTGTCTAACTGATTTTGTCATCTGTTCAGTTCTCACTATTCAGAATATTTGAGTTATTAGTGAATAATAATATGCATGGTTCTCATTGTTTTGCTACGATTGGAGTTGTGTTCATTTTAGGTATGGTCTGCTGATAACCTGGAATTTGTTAGGACTCTTTCGGGTCATAAGCGGGGCATTGCTTGTCTACAATATCGAGGACGGCTTGTCGTCTCTGGTTCTAGTGATAATTCCATCAGGTTACTTAATTTATTCGAGTCAAGTGTATTAGGATGTGCATGAGACACTTTAGACTGTGGGATATTCATTCTGGTGTGTGTCTGCGAGTGCTTGAAGGCCATGAGGAGTTGGTACGGTGTATAAGATTCGATGACAAACGCATTGTTTCTGGAGCATATGATGGGTATTAGCTTGATGTTTTGTAACTCTACGCTAACACTTAGTTGATTCATTTCATCCAACTGACTATCCCATATTTTGTTAGGAAGGATAGGAGTCAATTTGTACTTTTTGAAGGAAAATCCGTGTTTGGGACCTAGAGGCCGCACTTGATCCTCGTTCATCACCTAGTTCCTTGTGCCTTAGTACTTTGATGGTAAGTGCTCTGTAATGTTTGACTTGAATAATTTCGCTCATAATGACTTTTTTCAGCAACATACTGGTCGTGTATTTCGTCTTCAGTTCGACGATTTCCAAATTGTTAGCAGTTCTCATGATGACACAATCCTTATCTGGGATTTTTTGGTTGAACCTAACGTGTCACCGAATTCATCTCCACATACAAGTGCTCCTGATTCATTACTGGAACCAGTTGTTTCATTATCGCTACCTTTAAACTCGGTTGGGGTTGCAACTGATGATAGGAACAGCCCTCCCATTAACTCACCGACGATTAACCAACCATACTCACTACATGATCCAAGCACATCGCATGGTGCGTTATGCAATCAGTACTTGGTTGATGATTCAGTTGGAACAGCAACTATACAGCAGTACGATCCGCCGGGTCCGAGTGTAAGTTTCTTTTTCTAAAAAAAGTGGTAAATGGTTTATTCCAGAGTTTTCATATTGCATATATTCATAATATAAAAGCCGCTAAGCTCATGTTTTACTCTCGACCTGTTTAGCTTTTCAATGTATAGTGTTTTACTGAGGATTCAACTACTTCTGGATCTGTCTTACCACTGAATAATGTTTAATTTATTACGTTCCTTATAGCTTATATCAGCTCCCTTTTGATTCTAGGGTTCTAGTGTAGTGAACAGAGCAGAGGTTCGGCATCTAGAAGCGATATATGTCGACTCACTGTCGTCAGATGACGATGAGGCCGTGCAAGCACCTACTGCTGGCACCTCGAACCATCCGACAGGGCGCGCTCCACCAGCTAGTCCTGAACCGTGCGACAAAGGTGGATGACTTTCAGCCATTAGTTTTGGTGAGCATTCGAGGGCTTGTAAACATTTTTTGTTCTGATGAAACTGAGTCATTTAAGATTGTCGTGGAAGTATATCTTATGGTAAATGTGTTAAATTTTTTTATGTGATGCTGTTGAAAACGTCCCAGCTATTGCAAAACAAAATACCATCACAACGGTTTTTGCTAGGATATCATTCGTTGATTATGGTAACTTTGTACTTTCCCTGTCTGTGTTCTGTACTCCATGTTATTAACTATTTGTCTCTTCTCTGGATATCTGCTGAAAATCTCCGGGAGTTTTAGACATCGACGCCGGTGCCACTTTTCGCATTGCTCATCCTGTTGTAGAGAGCAGAACTAGTGCTCCAGGCTGTGTCGTTTTTTATTATTCTACTAACTATTCTTACCTTGTAATTGAAGAAACGAAATAAGATGTGCTCTTAGTGAATGAAGATTCCTGATTACACGTCTCCACTCTTCACACGAAAGCAAAATAACTTTGTCTTCGCTATTATATCGAATATTTCTAACCCTTAACGCCCAGTATAGACACAATAGCATCTAAACCAGGTGACGATATGCACACTGTCGAGTGCCCATTTTTAGTGCAGTGGGTTCCAAATTTTTTTTTTTGCCGCACTGTCTATATTCATTCGATAGCAAGTAGAGAGCAGATCGAAATAGGTTGGATGAAACGCTGAAAGGCGTTATCTGTACATAATAATTTGCAGAAAACGCCCTTTCGGACGGGATTTCTCGGGAATACGTGCTAAAGTACGACAATGCGAAAAGTCGCTTGAATGTGAGGAAATGAGCTATCGAGAAGTGTTTTTGCATGTTACTTAATTGTGAATGCATAACGTTAATAAAATTACAAATAGTGACTAAGAAATGCTTGGCATCAACAAAATATTTGGTCACCGATGTGATTCATCGCACTGCATGTTTGGAAACGACTCCCAGTCCTCTTACTCGCACAAGTTTTAACCGCTTTGAAATCCTGCTCAAATGCACTTTTTCGGCGGCTTGGTTGGGCTAACGAGATCGACACGCCATTAGGTACCACACCATTGATGTAGGAAGGAATCTCCAAATTTCTAATCAAAGCTACGTGTTCTTGTGCTAATATGAGCGCAGTATCGTCCACTCGTCCATTTTATGTATTGAAGAAACGAGTAATAATGGATTACTTGATGTGGCGATGCAATCTGAAATGGTATAGGAAACTTAGAACGGCCTTCATTTGTTTGTCTTTTATCGATATAAGTAGTTCAGTTGCTGGAAGGTGTTGACTTGATCACCTGGAATTTCAATGAGCATCTCATTGACATGATTGCTTATCGAGCAAATTTTGCATGGAATCACGAGATAACACTACTATAACGTTCCCAGGTGACCATCACAGACGGTAACTGGCTCCTGTGAATTAGCCTTCATTCGGAAAACTACTGTAGCGATCTGAAGCACCAGCTAATGCTTGAATTGTACTATTTACTGGAATATGAGAGAATATGTGGAACTCTAATAAAATCAGAGGAGTATAAGAGCATTTATTTCATAAATTACAACATGAACACACAATCGCTTCTCATATTTAACCAAAAATAGAGTGTGAACAGTCGGAAAACAATGCGGCGTGGAATCGGACGACTTCAGGTGAAGATAGATTGCCATGCGCCCAGAGAACATTAGATGAGCATGTGGAGGACAGGTCATGTATCTGCACGTTAAGAAAGAAAGCTTCTTAGTTATTAATGAAGGGTGATTTAAGTATTTATTAGTCTCCTTAAAGGTGACATGTTGTGTTTCCCTCTTTTTTTTCCACCTTCTTCATGACCATTCTGTAGTGCCTGTTGATTGCAGGGTGCACTGAACTCTGTAGACTTCCATTGTTGAATGGGAATAGTACTTTAAAAAAATGTTAAAAAGTGAAGAAACGCAGAATAATGTAGAATATTTATTGCAGACTTATCAAATCCTTTGTAACAGACTTCCTTGTAATTGTAATGGATCCCATACATTTATTACAGATGCCGTCCACATTGCTCGGTTCATCTGTTCCACACGTAACAAAATTTCTACAATTAACTTTCTTGTTCCTATAAACCTTCGAAACTCCACGTGCTTTCCTCATCTGCACAAGCTGCTTTCTTTTCAGTAGTTTACGTCTCTAGACTTATCGAATTTATTCGACAACAGAAGTGCATAACTCGAATGAAAACCCATTCGGCAGTGCTCTAATATACGACGATTCTCAACTGATTGTCAACTGACAGTGAACTGTTTTCGTGAAAGGAATCCATCCTGTATCAGTCGGTATTGTAACAACCAGTATTGGAATACATGACGTAAAAATCGCCCACAACAAAGTTTTCGTAACAGTCGTAGGTGCGCTCAGTATTTAAAAAAATTATTGATTGATCACGTCGAGGATAATTTAAACTCTGCCTTCGAAGGATACACTCATTTTTCAAACGTAGTAAAAGAACAAATTTGTTTAAATTTAGACACGGAATGATAGAAATAATTCTTTATTTAGAGTTGTTGAAATAGAGGTTATATAGCGAAATGATCGTTTTGAGAAGCAATAGCCAAAAAATCATCAACTGTAAGAAATACCTCCTCAAATAAGCGTCTAGGATCGACGCGTCTAGCAAGAGCATTTTAATCTGCTAAGCCGTGTCTTACTCGTTTGTTCGGCGCCATGTTTCTGGAGTTACATTTCCAGTTTTCAAGGGTAGATCAAAGTGGATATGCATTCAAGTGCTTCACAAAAGCACTTTCTTCAGGGACAGCATCATTTTATGTCGTAGTCGTCGTACTTTCTTAAGCCAATGCGCGCCAACAACGTTCGTTAGAAGTTAACGGTAAAGACGAGGTTCCTTGCGATAGAAATGAGTGTGCGATCGAGCATATGCTAGTTTTACGTGAGTCTGTCAGTGCGACTTTGCTCATTTGTTGTAAAACGACAAAAATTGTCAAAGAACACGACGGGAAGAAAGCGGCGAAATCATTTGTCTGTTTTTGTTCCATATGTTGAGAGACATTGATCCAGTAATCTAGGGATAGGGTGTGAAGCAGAGAGCACGTAGAAATTTTTTAGGGAATGTTTAATAAATATCATATGCTAATTTGTCAAGTTGTATGAAAGCAGCGATATTGTTTTGACCTTCTCTTTGTTCTTGTGCACCGAGTTTGATTGTATGACATTAAAAACATAAGCTTAAAAGGCTTACTCCAGCATCAATAATGGCACCAACGAGTTTTACACAGCGAAAGGATAACTGTTCGCCGAGTGAAGGCCATTTATCCCATTCGAGGTGCACTGGTGGAACGGCTTCCGTAACGTCGGTTTCTAGATGTGAACAATAATTTCTCAAGATCTTTAACTTTTTATTTATTGTCTGTTATTTTCATGACAGGTGTTATGTGATGCACACCACAACTATGGTGAGATATTTGAAAAACTCGAATCCCAGGTCAATTTCGAGTCTGCGATCACTCCTCCCGGGTGCTCGCATATTAGTCGCTTCACCATCGAGGCCTTTGCTCTGCTTTTCTCTCAGCTAGTTTTTACCCTACCGTTACTAATGGTTTCTCGAGATTTTCGAAAGTGCATTCGTGATACTACACATGCAAATTTTCCAAGACAACTGGAAGCAGGCTAACCTCACTTTCACTAGGTTTTCTAAAAATTTGGCTCTTAAGGGGTGAGAGTTGTTCATTAAAATAATTCGTGATGAAAAAAAAACTTGAAGAGAGATAAAACACAGTATTTTGAAGTCAACGATGAACAATCCCTGCAAATTTGTCTTTATTACTACGATGATGCTGAGATATTTGCAAAACTCTGGACTGGATGTGTCTGCGGAGGGAATCGAACACACAATCGAACACTATTTCTATCGATCTTTTTTGCCACAGCAATCACCCGTCAGCGGGGTTGATCTGGGGAGCGCAAATCGGCATAGAACCCAGTTAAACTATGGCTGTAGTTGAAATCACAATGTTTAAGATTTTGTTTTCTGCCTTCTTTAATTTTATAGCTGAGAGACAGGCGAAACGAAGGACCCTCATGGTGTGGTGGTGAACGCGTTACTCCCTGGAAAGGATAATAGCGCGTTCGTTCCTCACCATAGACACCTGCGGTCCAGAGTTTTGCAAATATCTCAGCAACGTTGTGGCTGTTGTTTAAGTCACAATGGAGTCACTTTTTATTTACTGCCTATTTTTTTTTCGCGGCATTCTTTACTTTCTTTCATTCTTCAATGTAGTCATATTTCACAGCATACCCCACCATGAAAAAAGAACAGGCAGTAGATAAAAAGTGATTACATTTTCCTTTATTATCGTCTGCTTCAATACTTTCGCTATGCAGTGTTTACAGCCGCATATGGAAAGCAAAAACAGCGGGCGTAGCACAATGGTTGAACACGCGCCTTAATCCACAAGTGGACACTCGTTCGATACCGCGCCCAGAGTCACCAAGCCTTCCGACTCTCCGGAGTCGGCAAATCCGTGCCAGATTTGTCTGGGAGGATAGCAGCACCGACCTAATATATTGGTAAGACAGAGTAAGACCAGATATGCATCCAATCTCCTCTGACAGTATCTGATGAAGTTGAATGCATGGTGCATTTCTCATCGACTGATCAACGCCCAAGACTATATAAAAAAGGTTAAAAAGGACAAAGAGGAGTTGATCAATGCCTGAGGGATGCGCCATGCATTCGACTTCATAAACAACATTTGGAAGTGATTGAATGCATATCTGGCCTTTACAGTGACTCACACTGCCCTACTGATGTATCGAGCCAGTGTTGCTACCCTCCCAGACAAGTCTGGTATCAATTTCCTGAAGCCGGGGGGTTGCAAGGTTTAGTGGGCCATGTGCGAGGGGAGCGATTCCACGTGTGTGTTGCAGGGCGCATCGGACCATCGCGCCACCTGTGTATATATAATGCTCATCTGAACAGAAAACTGCATGGTCAGTGGTCGTAGTGGTCGCAAATCCGCGTTTGAGCAGAACTCACTGAGCAACTCTTGCCCATAACAGTGGAATCGAGATTTCCCCGATTCGCTGTCACTTGGTGGAATCAATTGATGATCATCTGGTGAATCACTCACAAAGTGTGGCTAATACGAAACATATAGTTTATTTTGACGACGACTTTAACAACAGCGAAGTACCTACGTAAGAGCATCAAATCATCAAATCCTATAGTGACTGCAAATATTGTCAAAAGCGTATGATTACAACTGAGCTCAGTTAGTAGCATTTGGTACCGGTAAATGCTCTTTCACAGAGACTATTATTATTATTACAAAATAACGCATATAGTCAATAATATTCAACTATGTACATAAATAGCTATTCAAGAAAAAAAAGTGTACAACGAAACGCTCAGGTTTTACTGAAGAAAAAAACGTATTAACGGTAGGAAAGTGATCGTGATACCAGAAAAGAAGGAATGAGCGGCATGACGAAAAAGAGGTTTTCACGATGCTGAAAAATTAGGGGCAGAAAGCGCACACAAATGCAGAAAATGGAGTCAACATTGCTGTTATGGCTCTATAAAAATAAAGACAAGTTCAAGTTAATAATGAAATAGACTAATTCGACCACAGCCAGCCAAGATACCCTATTTTTTCATGGGTGTTGAACTCATCGAAAAAAGGTGGCAAGAAGTAACACCAATTTCTGGATTCGAGATTCTTCAGTTTGGTTCAAGAGAAGTACAACAATATCTACTTTGATATAAAGCAAGCCACATCATAAAAGATGCACATTTGTTCGCTGATATCAGCGTCACCAATTCTGAAGGACATATAAAACAGAAGAGATGAAACGCGGTCATATACGAAGGCTTTAAATAACCAAGTTAGTCCATATTTTTGAGCGAGAATTTTAAAGTTCCACTGCAAGAAAAAAAACCCGAAGTGTCAATTTAAATTAATAAAAAATCGTAGATTGAAAACCAAATCCTCATTTATCAGTAAAAATAGCTCTTCTTATTAACATACTCAGCAGCTGTCAACAAGCTCTTCCACCGACTGAAGCTCAGAAATCGGTGCTATGCAATCCACGGAAGTATCGACCTGAAAAAAATATGTCTATAAAATTTATAAACGAGCTATTTCAATCATATGTGCTCGTATCGTTTTCAGCCAACGTGTTTCGGATTTTTTCAAGTTTCTTATGTCAATGCTCCTAGGTTGCTCCTAGTGCTTCATATTTATGTCGTGAATACATTTTCATTTTCTAATCTTGTTCGCCTTCGAACAGTTTACCGCCTCATCGTGGCTGGAAGGTGCTCCTGGGCGTCGGAGTGCGATGTACATCGGGGTGATTAGTCCTCCTGGCAGGGTCTCCTAATCTGAGAAGGAGTTCGGCGTTTCCATGAGGAGGCCTAACTTAGGGTGAACTAACACCGTCCTGATATCGTAGTCGCATAATAGCAAATCTCCCTCTGATCTACAAGGGCGGCGACTGCATGTGGTGGTGACGATCTAAGGCAGACTTTGGCTAGGCTGACCTCGGGGACTCCACGAAACACCAATGGCTACACCAACAAAACTCCGAAAAACTGTAGATTACGCTGGGGTCCACACAACCAGTGAGAATGGGCCATCCAAGTATCAAGTATAAGATTTTCTTCGAGATTCTTTATTTGTGGCGATTGCACTATTTGAATTTTTCGTTTTTTTCCACGTAATATTATTGCAGAAGTTAGTCTGCATTTGGTTTGCATTATTCATTAATAAAAACAGCACCAATCTGAGAAATCGAGGTTTCAGAAAAAAGCTGAAGAACAACTGCGCGCTTTCACTGACGAAAAATACCGTAAAGAACACTGTCAAAGACAAGACTGTTCAGAAAATAGCGCTAACTGGACCCATTAGTAAGGATTTTGGTACTTATTCAGATTTCTATCATCAAGAAAAATTTTCATAAGGCAACACTGTTGTCAAATGCTGAAACTGCTGCAGAAGAATTTTCGAACAAAACTCCCCGGTAATTTTCTCATAAAAATTATTTGTTCTGTCACCACGATAACGAGAAACTTATGCAGTAGCAGTAAAAATGTAAGCAAAAAATAATTAGTTGGAATGCTCGCGTTCATTCTCATTTGAAAAGAAGACTGATCACTCTTCTCTCTCGTGCAAGCGTAAAGATGTTGGAAACTCGCCGTGATGTTTTCAGTCGGACAATTCGAGGATGATGCGAACACTTTCGCCGATTTCGAGTTGCCATTAGTATCAACTGGCCTAAAACAGCAAAAGAAACTTTGTCTGTAACTTGTAATTATAGGCTTTGCAAAGATATTCCACTAAAACCGAGCTACTGCTCAAAATTCATTTACGAAAAAACATTAAATGATGACGTCAGCCTTAAATGATGCAGTATGACAAGGACCAACTCAGTGGAAGCATTAGGGTGCTCGGAAATTAATGTCCGATTTCTAATTCCCTTCTTCTTAGATATGCTGTTTTGGCAATATCACAATGTTTAGCGGATTATTTACTACCTATTAATCTTTTACAGCAACCTATAATGTGAAATACAACTACTACGGTGCTGAGATATTCGCAAAACTTGGACCCCTGTCCAAATTTGAACCCTCAACTACCGTTTTTGCGAATCAGCTCAACTGCTTCAAATATCAAAACAGAGGGCGAAGGGTGTTTACGAGAGCATAGCTAACGTTGATTTGAAAAATTTCATCTTAACCATTTCGAAGTTGGCTTCAAAAAATTTCATGGCGACCAATTTAACACTGAGAATGAGGGTAAGGCGGGAAAACTCCAGCTAATGACTACGATTAATTAAGGAATTTAATGGAAGCACATACAAGCAAATTCTTCAAAACCTGAAATAACTCAGCGTAAGCACTTCGCCTGTTGCAGACAGCTAAAGAAAATTGGAAATTAGAAGAACTTCGACAAAAGGATGGCGCATGAATTGAATGCCAATCAAAGAAATTGCCGCTTTGATATATTGCCAGCATATCTTTTAGGAAACCAGAAAGGTACGATTCTTGATGTGTTGAAAAGTGAAACGAAAAATGGGTCCTCTACGACAACGGACCACGATGGGCTTAGTGGTTGGACCAAGATGAAGCTCCGAATCACTTCTCAAAGCCGAAACTACATCATTAAAGGTTGTTTCTACCATCAAGTGGTCTACAGATGGTTTAATTCCTTTCTAAATCAGGGTAGGACGATTAGGACGGAGAAGAATGTCCAGTAAGTCGACAAAATATACAAGAAACATCCACGGCTGTGCACCGCATTAGTAGACAGAAAAGGACCAGTCCTTCTCCACGACAACGCGTGGAAACACGTCGAACTATAAATGCTGCAAAAGTTGGAACAGCTGGGCTACGAAATTCTTCTTTATCATTATGCTCGCCAGGCTTCTCGTTCACCGATCACCACTTCATCAATTACCTTGACAACTTCCTGTGCGAGAAATGCTTCAGACACGAAACGGAGACCGAAAATGCCTTATGCCACTTCAAAAGTACAGACAAAAATCAGACATTAATTTGTAGACAATCTAATAATGAGCGTGTTTCTTTTAGATTCTGACTAATAGTTCTATGACTGCCGCAGCATCTACCACTGAAAGAATCTACTATAATTGAAGGTACAAACTGAAAAATCTCATTTACTTTGGGAAAGGCGAAACCGTGGAAACGTTACCTATTTGGAACGAATAGTGTAATGACAACCCTGTGTCACCCTTGAAGAAAACAATGAAGTTGAAAAACCATGATCATACTTCAAGGCTTACTTCGGTATTCTTCGATTACTTTTTCAACAATAAAAGCTTTTTAATAATGGGTAGGAAACTAGGAAATAAATAGGTTGATAGAAGCTTTCATGTTTTTAACAAACAAATTAATTAGTTATGGACGCTCATTTTTGACATTTCCCATTTAACAGAACAAGAAAATTAGAAAATCTTATTCTGACACTAACACTTCGCTGTCGCTGCTTTTGGTGCTAGCGGAACATGTCGATTCATTTGAGATCGTACTGGTCCAGCTCTTTGGACGTTGTCGGACGAGTTGTTCTTGCTGGCCTTCACGATGGACCATACGGGAGAGTCGGACGATCCATAAGGACCGATACTCGACGTCGCACAACTCAATCACATACGCATCCGATTTCGCTTCATCCCACAAGTCGAATCGTGAGCCACCAAATCGCGAGTTCTCAGAGAAACCCAGCGACGACATCTGACACAGAAGAATTTATGAAATAGAAACGTTTGTGCTGTTAGAAACTCCCGCTTCGAAATATGGTCAAAAACTTGGAGTGAAATGAAAGAACTCTGTTTACTAGGCCATGTGGTAAAATGCAACGGTGTTATATTGGAAGGAAACAACGTTCTTTCCAAATATTGCTTTACTGAGGAAATACTGAAGTTAAGCAGAATCACTTCGTTTTAGACACATTTTCTACAATTGTTGCTAACAAACCAAGTAGATGAAGACTTGTATCAAAACCACAGCATTCTTCGCGCTTGTTTTCGCTGAACGACCGCTCGGATTGCACGACAATTCACGACGATTACGGTGTTTAGGTAGCTTGATTGATTGATACTTACTTGATACTTGAACGGCCCGACCTCACTAGTTGTGCAGGCCCCAGCATAGTCAACATTTTTTTGGAGATTTGCTGATTAAGCCATCGTGGTTCCCTGGAATCCCGAGATCAGCCTGGCCAAAGCCTGCCCCAGGTCTTCACCGCCACAGGCAACCGCACCCCTTGTGGATTAGAGGGATATTTGCCATCCCGCGACTTTGATATCAGGAAGGTGGTGGATCCTGGTATTGCTTTACTTTTAGCTAGGCTACCTGGTGGAAACGGTGGAGTCCTTCTCAGCTTGGCAGACTCTGCCGGGGAAGCGAATCTCCCCGCTGTACATCGCATTCCGACACCCAAGAACACCTCTAAGCCATGATGAGGCGGTAAACCGTTGCGAGGTTTCTATATCATTACCACATAAAGCGACATCAGTAATTTTTTCAAACATTTTGGAGAAAAACTTGAGTTCTTCCCAAAGTTTTCAATCGAGTCAAAAAAACGAATTATTAAAACGAACAAACCGATATGAACATTTTATGCTCGTAATACTCAGAATCTAGCGTGGACGGTTGATTTGAAAGATTGCGCCTTTTACAAAACAAAATTCCGGAATCGAACAGGAACAGATGGCTGAAAATGAAAGACAAGGTTTAAAATTTACTTAAGGACGTTTTTATTCCCTTGCACGATAAATAGATTTTATAACGTATAGAATAGAAGTCGTCCTCTTATACACCTCTCCAGACGTATTGTTGGAACACGTGAGCTGCATTGTTGACTTGTACAAAAGGCGATGATCAAAATAGCGGAAAATAAGGTATTCCACTTGTAGGCGCCAATATTTCTCACCAAATCATGCTTTTCCTTTTAAAATAATTGACTAAAGCCTGATTAAGACTCTTCTTTAACGTATTTGTGACGAAGTTTGTTGATTCATAAGTAACTGAAAATGCGTGCGATTATCAGCAATAGACAAACGTATCTCATGTCATACAGAATTTTGTCCATTGAAAAGAAGTTAAGTTCTACAGATCCTTGCGAACAACATGAAAGCTCCCTTATCCCATAAAGATGAAATCAAAGTCTTGTGATGCCCAGACATCGATTATTTTTCTCATTTTCAACGGTGTTGGTATATAGAGAACATTGAATAACTAGAGTTTCTTTCAGGAAGACATCATAAAGCACTCAGATGCATTACTAGAGTGAGCGGCCGGTGCGCTCGTTTAGAAATTTATCTGCTTATATACACAGATGACCCATTTTCACGTGTTGAGCGAGTTCCAGCGCTTCCTCACGGATCTCGCAAACGTCATCCACGGACATGCTCCACCTCACAAGTGGATTCAGCCACAACATGAGGATCCGTCGCTTCTTTTCTCACTGACATTATGAATGCTTGTTGAATGCAACCTTTCGTAAAGGCCCCAATTTACTAGGGTAGGGCGTTCTCCGGTCATCAACACGGGCTGTTGATGACACTTTTGATGTTGGGTAAGTTTGCTGGTTTCGACTGTTCCAGACCTACCGTAATATTCGTGATTGAAGCGAATTCTGCGAATAGCAGTGGAGCATCCTTTTGAGGTCAACATAACAAACCAAATAGCACAGTGACAAATAAAACATTCCTAAGCTCACCGTCGTTGTGCACGAGCCAATTTCCCTTTTTTCTTACGGCTATACTGGTAGACGTCACACTCGGATCGTAGACGAAGTTGTCCTAATAGACGTAGATCGCCCTTTAAAAACATTACTTAACGCTGAGAAAATCTAACAATTGTTTTCGACCCACGTTAAATCCAGAAATGTGAAGGTGGTGAATGGTAGCATTTATCTGAGCAAGAAGTTCTAACATAGTCGAAAGTGCCTCCGTAACTTCTGATCGCACCTATAATGAAACATAGTGAAACGAAATAGTGAAAGCAAAGGTGGTACTAAACGAACCTCAGGTCGACAATGTCTCTCCAGTTCACGAAGTAATAATTGGTATTTAGTGATCCTTTGTACCGGTTTTAGCAAGTATGCACCCAAGGGCAGCGGATGACAGGCTCGTCGTTGGCAATCCTTAGTTATAATGCAAGTAGGTGACGCGCCACGTTTGTGATCATGATCATCAGTAAACAAAATACCTCAAAGAAAGTTGACACCTCACAGAGTTGAATTCGTAATGCATCACTTGCGGCTTTGTTCTGACAATATGTGCGATACAATTGCAGAAATCTAAAACAAGAAATACGTAAAAATTCTCATATTTTAACAGTTCGCTCCATAATTCACAGCAAATAAACCCCACACTGGTAGTGGAAAGCATGGCAATGGTATGTTAAGCGCTTGAACATTGATAAACCTTCATAGAAATTTTGTTATTGTCGGAAACTTCTCATTCTTCACCATATGAAATCGCAGGCATCGCATCGCACTATCAACATAGATTTTCGATTTCTTGTCGCAACAGCGGGATCTTCAATAGGCGCAAATACACCAGCGCTATGTGCGAAATTCATCGAGGGTGTGTCGAGCCCAATGTGTTCCTCTTACGACCACGCTCTCCTTGGCATACGTCTTGGACACGACACAGACCAAATGCGCATTAAACTGTCACGCACTGCATTTTAAAGTATACAGTTAGTCAAATCACCAAGCACTTGCCTGTCCGCATGCTGGGTGAACACACGACAAATCCCGGCAGACGAATTTTCATTCGCTAGCAGTTCCGGTAACAGAAAGCGAGAATGGAAAACCAGAAGTTCGCGAAGATTACCTGGAGATCTTACCCTCTAAACGTTACTAACAGTCACATCCATAAATTCAGTAACATGACAAATCACATTAGACGATCTACAATTTGAATATAAACCGGAAAAATTTGGCATTTTTCCAGTAGAACACCCACCAAATACCAAATCGCTTCGGCCTCGAATCAGCACGGAGAGATCTTGCTGTAGATCGAGTGAGTGAAATGGCTCCACATAGTATTCAACAAGTGACTCCAGTTCGGATACGTAAGTTCGCTCAGTACTCAACTAAACACATTGTTTTTCATTAGAAGCATGAGACAAATCTTTTCTCCGTCTTTTTATCTGTCTATCTGCAAACATTTAGTTAATGGAAACAACCTCAGTTCTGTTTTAATGGATCATTAATGCTCAAACTTGCTAGTGGATTTTTTAACAATATACTCACAAGAATAAGATTTTATTCAAAGTCTATCCCTTCTGCCTTCCAAATGAATCTAGGTTTCTCCACAGTAGCACATTACACATGGTCATTTTGTTTAGCGTTAGAAGAAAAGCGCTAAAAAAAACTTTAGGTCACGCAAGCAGGAGCTGACTATGGGGAACTGAAGACGATTATGCAACTTGTGCAGAATAAGAGCTCGTTCTCCAAAAGTGGAGATTGTATGTCAACATCTAGCGAATTTAGTAGTTTTCTTGTTTATTGGGTAGAATTCTGAACCGAAAATCCCTACAGAGTGTTGCACTCGCCAGAATAAGGCTTACGACACAACTAAATAAAAAAAACATTTTGTCTTACCAGTTCACCAATGACAAATGACTCGATGGATATCGAATGAGCACTTTGTGGAGACTCTGGTGCTGATTCAGAACTCAAACAGTGTTGAATATTCCGTACACTTATAATATCGTGCTGAAACTTTAGACTGTTTGGTACGTGAGAATAGAATGCATTTAAATAACATTCAACAGAACCCATCCAATTGGAGTTTGTACAACAATTCTGAACAGCTCACAAAATAAACAACCACGTAGGTAGTTATAACCACAATTTCAACTTATTATTTACTGCCTACTCTTTTTAACCGCAGGGTATTCATTGCGAAATATAACTTCAACGATGCTGAGATATTTGCAAAACTCCGGACCGCAGGTGTATGCGGTGGGGAACGAACACGCGCTGTTGTCCTTACCGGGGAGCAGCGCGCTTCACCAGCACACCATCCGAGTCCTTCGTTTTGCCTGTCACAATGAATACCCTGCCGTTAAAAAGAGTAGGCAGTAAATAATAAGTTGAAATTGTAATTATAACTGCGGCCTCAGCTTAACTGGGTTCGTTGCGGATTTAGGCCCCCAGATCAATCCCGGTGACGGGTGATTGCTGATGGCAAAAGATCGATAGAACTAGCTGACAAACAGGTTAAACGAAGGACCCGGATGGTGTGGTGGTGAAGTGCGCTGCTCCCCCGTTAGAACAGCGCGTGTTCGTTCCCTACCGCATACACCTGCGGCCCGGAGTCTTGCAAATATCTCAGCATCGTTGAAACCACGTAGGTATTCAGTGTCATACGCACGGATTTTGCAGAGTTTTCGATTTCATAATCAAATCGAATCATGAAATAGGGGAGAAATAACGCAAACCTGCACATTGAGAAAATAAGTTCTAACCCCAACTATGCTCTCCTGTCGAAAACCCGTTTTTTCTTCATAGCAGGTTTCTTCACAGCAAGAAAAATCCAAAGTTGCACTCTATGCTTCTAAGAAAAACTGACCACGTCATAGTTAGATGGCGCGCTAGAATGCAAACACGGCGGACTGACCAAGTGACCAGGAAATTCTCGGTGGATGCTACTCAACGAGAATAACGACTTGGTGCTTGCTCCTCAGCGAGATAGAAAGGAAAAACAAGTTAACAAACGACACTGCTCTGAACGTGATGAAAACAGATTTGGTATTTAAACGAAATCTTTGTTCAAAATGCCCAAATTTTGTCTGATCAGGAGGACTTTAATAGACCTTGAAGAAAGAATAATGGCTAATATGCAACCTCAGCCGAAAAACTGCTTCGATTTCGAGACAAACCACTAGGGTTATCGCACTATCGCCATGCTATAGTGTGAAACAATATTGTAGTTAGTTTTCACTTGTTAACAATCCTCACGTGCGCACACAAACCAAAGATCTGTTAACAGCTCACCTTTATGGAGGGAAGTATTAAAAAGCATCAAGCGCAATTTTCAAAAGAAATTTTCACTATTCAAGCGTTTTGAAGCCGACTAAGGAGCCGAACTTTGCGTTAAATGGATCTTTCTGGACACGAGTTTCGTGTTAACGAACTTTTTCAGCTCATCTTTTTCAGCTCATCTTTTTCAGCTCATCTTTTTCAGCACATCTTTTTCAGCTCATCTTTTTCAGCTCATCTTTTTCAGCACATCTTTTTCAGCTCATCTTTTTCAGCTCATCTTTTTCAGCACATAACATCCGAAGTGCATTGATTTCAACGACATGTGCTCGAGTATAATAATGTCTTTCAATTTTGACACTTAACGACTAAGTGTACTCATTCCAACGCATGTGGCACGAGAATAACGGCCGCTTTCCAACTTAAACAAATATATCTCTCGCAGCAAACCATATTAATTGAAATAAGATCACTGGACCCCACATATCTTTGCCAATAAAATACTCTCTCTTATCGTATAATGAAAAAGTCCTGAACTCCAGGGGCTCATAAAGTGTATTCGTTCCGATTTTCATTGTCAACGCTCTTGTCTTAAATAGGATAGACGGGATTTCATCCAGACACATGAAAGTTTATACATACATATATATGAACTATATATATACTCACAATTTAACGTATTATTCACTGCCTATTCTTTTTAACGGCAGGGTATACATTGTGAAATATAACTACAATGATGCTGAGATATTTGCAAAACTCCGTACCGCAGGTTAAAAAGAATAAGCAACAAATAATACGTTAAATTGTGATTATAAGCCTCAGCTTAACTGGGTTCGTTGCCGATTTGGCCCCCCCCCCCCCAGATCAATCCCGTTGACGGGTGATTGCTGATGGCAAAAGATCGATAGAACTAGCTGAGAGACAAGCAAAACGAAGGACCCGGATGGTGTGGTGGTGAAGTGCGCTACTCCCCGGTAAGGACAATAGCTCGTTCGTTCCCCACTGCATACACCTGCGGTCCGGAGTTTTGCAAATATCTCAGCATCATTGAAGTTATATATATACTATATATATATACGAATGATGAAAGGATAACGCTATCGGCGTTGATCAATCCATAAGGGACTGCGCATTAAATTCGCTTTCATCAAGATCGTCAGAGGTGATTAAATGCATATCTGGCCACTGCAATGACTCGCCGTGGCCTACCAATGTGTCGAGTCAGTGCTGCTACCCTCCCAGAAAGGCCGGTACCAATTTTCCGACCCCAGAATGATGGAGGGCGTGGTTGGTCTAGGGCGTGGGCCCGATCTCATGTGTATTGCATGGCATCTCTAACCACAATGCTACACGTGTCCCTTACATACACATATACATTTACCCATATATGTATATATATATGTAAATGCATATATATACATATATACAGATAGATAGATAAAGAAAGAGAGAAGGTGAGAGGGAGAGATACACTCTCACCGACTCCGCTACTTAACTTTGTTATTTTTGCGCACTTTGTAAATATGACGTAAAACATCGAATAGTTTAAGTGAAAGAATTCGTTAGATTGCCTGAATTCGTAAAACTTCTAAAGCAAGAAAAGAAGATTCGTTCATCAATTCAAATAAGAGATAAACTTGTGAGCGACAAAATCTGCAGAGGTCACGACCTCATAAAGGCAAGGTCGTCGCTACATATGGCTTAGGACGAGCGAAACTATCGGTTTGATGAAAGTGACACTTAAGCCACCTTTAGTATAACAGTCGGCTAGCTCGGATTCGCAAGTATTAACAATTTTGAACGTTTTGTTTTTTGAGGCTATATGAAGCAGATTTCAGAGGCTATATAAAATGCGCTAGATTTATCACAAAACAGAAACTGAGTGCAGATACTTCAGGCGATGTCGCTGATAGCAACATTACGCAGTGAATTGCATCATTAAAAGACTGTCTGTTATTATCAACTATGCAAAACCTGAAATGAAAACGAAATCGGAGTTGAGTTCGAAGAACTCCAAACGCCATGAGCCAAAGTACATACATGGATGGGACTTCGCGATCGTCCCACAATCGAAATCATGTGTATTACACACCGACATAAGGGTTATCACTAATTTACGGCTTCGTAGAACAACAAGGAACAGTAGAAATATGAAGAAAACAGACGGCTCTCGTCAAAATTTTTTCAAAAGTGGAAAAGTTTCACCTACGCCAATCTAGCCATATTGTTCGGACTGCTTTTAAAGTAACCAAAGACATAACTTTCACAATCATATCAAATATAGAGGCTCAGATTTGAAAGCACACTACGTACTCGGCCCTGGACGAATAATGTAACCTTGGAATGAACAGAAGTGGAACACTATATACAGATATAACACTATGTACAGATTGTGGCAACCAAACACCGAGAAACGATTTCTTACCGCGGTATGCTAAAGATCAAACCCACCATGTCACAAATGCAATCGCAGTTGTTAACGCACAGTGCGATCTCCCCATTCGGCGAAATTAAAGGAAGAGACAGTGAATTAACAATACGTCTTTTTGGCCGTCGAAATGATAAGAACCGTGGCAACGACCTCTTCATCAGCAAGACGTATAGGTTAAGCTCAGGCAGAATAGAGAGCAGTAGGAATATAGGAGTAGAAATACGTCGGGAAGGGCTATAGCGGCCACAAATGTGCGCGCGAAACACAAAGAACGGCAGAGGCGGGTGCGCCGCTCAAAAACGCGCCAAACCCGAAACTCGACTCTGGACGTGAAGTGCAGAGGAGTCATTGCGACCGGCTGCACATCCATCACGAAACATCTGTTGATGTGAGAAGTTCTTCTGGAGACTTCATTTAACACGGCTGATCGAAGCAAAATGAGATTCCTGTCCACTTTTAGTAAATGTATATGAATCACGATGAATCCTAATTTTTCTAGTGTTCTGAAATTTTCTGTGGAATGATGGAGCGTAAAGATCGAGTGATCATTACTCAATTAAATAGTGAGATCGGATAACAGATCCCGTAGTACTCTACGCGTCTTTCGTTTCTTGAAGTTTGCGTTTCTTCTCAAGCAAGATAATCAAAGTACAGTGCCTGTTTAACTGCAGACATAACAACGAACGAGACATATTATGAAACGAAAGCGGGAGACTTTCCGCACAACGCTGTTACGAACCCACATAAATCATAAAACGGAAAACTCAGACATATGACTGAAATCTAGTATCAGACAATAGGAGCCTGATTATTGCAAATTCGATTAAATAACGTATAGACAACTGGTTTTGTTTGCCTGGTCTCAGAGCTTTGTTCTATCCCTTCCGTACATGACCTAATATTTTTGATGATGGATACTTCTTCCGTTCTATTTGAGCTAATTCATGCACGTGTCAGTGTATCACTCAATAATCGACTATAAATATCAACTAGAAGCATTCTCAAAATTTGAGTTGCTCGACAGGTTCACAGACTATGAATGGTATCTCGTTCTTAATGTTACAACGAAAAACGTCACGAAATTATTACATAACGTTGGAAAAGATTAGAAATTACAGGATAAACAAGCTGTACTCGTACCTCTTCAAGAGCGGTGTGCTTCTCCTCTGGAGTGATCACATCTTCAGGTTTTTGCTCGATCACCTTTGTCAGCGCGTCGCGTATTGCTACTCCCATTCTCCGTATGTCATCTATACGTTCAGTCACCTAATAAAATTTAATTACACTATATCATAGCTCATGACGCATTTCATGCACATGTACAAAGAAAATTTCAGTGGCTTATCGCCTCAAGTTGTTTGAGAGTGTTCCTGACCATCGCTATATGGTAAAGAGCCGGGAATACATTTCCGGTGTTTTGAGAATTCTAACAACAGTAACCGGAAGTGAAAACAAGAGTAACCAAATGCCAGGAATCATAACTGTCTCGGTAGCAGCATAGTCGTAATCTGGAAAACTCCTCGCAATCCACTGAGGTCAGTTAACTGCCTAAAGCGACAATCCTCGGACTCTAGTAAAAAGAAAAAAGTGCAACAGCTTTAATACTCCATCTATTGTTCTCTTCTACTTCATATTGGAACCAGGAAAAAATAAGAAAAACCAGCAGCACGATAGCCCTAGCGCTCTTTACAATGGACAATTGTGCCGCAAATTCGAATGTGACAACGAGTGAGAAACTAAAGTCATAACCAAATTTCGGTTTGCACAAGACTTCGTTGCAGCCGAATCAAACTATAGCGTGCTTGATATGTCAACTTCTTTCTCTGCATGTACAAGCCCATAACCGTCAACTTCAAATCTTAAGAACTCTCGTTGTTCAGTTGATGCGAGATTATTAGCACTTGTTCTCGAAATTCGATGGCTAACGTTTCGGAGATTTCGCCTTCACCAGAGGACAGTCGTATTCTATAGCTGTATTTTATTATTCGGTAAACCATCCAACTCATAATAAGAACGAAATTTATAAGTTTAGACAGATATTTCCTTGTTCAAAAGCACCTTTTTTCATGAAAAAATCCTTTATTAAAAAATTGAAAAAAACCATTTTTGGTTCAGCTAAGAAGAACGGTGAACCTTAATCAGAGCAGAAAATTCTGCGATAAGACACCAGGTAATGTGTGATAATGACACCTAGTCTCCTTCAACCTCATGCCTATGCTCAAGTACCCTATGAGGTGCGCTATGTTATACCAAATACGAGGTAATAGCTCTTCAAAAGGCGAAAAACAAGAAAAGCTCATTAAAAGAAGTCACCATAGTCATTCGTGGACAGAAGATCCCATCACAGAATTTTAGTGAAACAGCTTTGCCGTTAACCTTTCTATTACCCATCTCGTCGACTTACACGAGATTCAGATCCAGACCTTAGACGCCAGAAATGGGGATGGCCAGTGGAAGTAAATAAATCGAAAAACTTAAAATACGTGAGAATGGGAACCCTCTTTTAATGCTTCAGCGCCTCCAACATGAAAATTCATTCCTTGACGGGACGGAAAATTCTCGTTAGACATTGGAGTCGCCTGACGGAGCTAATAATACCAAAATCGAGCGCAAACTTACAAAGTGAAGATGGTGAAGCCTCGTTAACCCCTTCGTAGCGCTAAAACTTTCTACTGGATCCCATCATCGCTTCCGTCTTTAGAAAAATCAGTTCACCCGTAAATAAATCGCATAGGAAGAAAATACTTACTTACTTACTTGGATACTTGGACGGTCCGCCTTCACGAGCTCTGCGGATCCCAGCACATATGCCATTCGCTCCTTTCTCTCGCAATCGTAGGCCATGGTGATGGTCTTGTTCGAGCATGGCAGCGCTTGCGAGTCTCATACCGTGATCTGTAAAACAACTGCAGCTGCGGGTACACCTGATTAACTTTGTTTACGAACACGTCCGCCCAGCGTGTAGGTGGTCGTCCAAGAGGACGTTTGCATTCTCTTGGAGTCCACTCTACTGTTCTCTTCGTCCATCTGTCGTCGGCTCTTCTCATTATGTGACCGGCCCATCTATGTTTCGCTGTCGATGTATATCCTCCTGGATCTCGAAGATGTGACAGATTTCGAAGGTCAGAGCTTCGCATTCCGGCTACATATTGAAAGTGCCGGTTATATTTCAGAAGACATTGCTCAAGCGCTCTGTGGGTAGTGCGAAGCATTCTTGATATAGTTGAAATATCAACCAACGTCTCTGCAGCATAACAGAGCGTTGGGAGGACCGTAGAATCAAAGAGATGAGCGCGGATTTTCGGGTCCCTCAGTTGGTCGGTAGCTTTTTGAGAGGCCCGAATGCAGCCCAAGCTGCTCTCCTTCTTCTATCTAGTACCTCCTTCATGTTTTTTTCCATGTTCATTGATCGCCCAAGGTATACGTACGAGGTGGTCTCTGCAATAAGAGAGCCATTCAATTCAGTTTTCTCGCCTTCGCACCATGGGCTTTTCATGAAGTGGGTCTTCTTAAGTCCAATCTTTTTCCCCCTTCGTTGAGCTCGTTGAACATCATCTCTGCTTCACTAGTACTTCTTGAGAAGATGAAATGTCATCAGTAAAACGAAGGGGTTTGATAGGAACATTCCATCAATACGTATGCCTTTCTCACCCCGATCGGGTGACTTCATTATTCACTGCAGTGCGGTATTGAACAACCTTGGCGATATTGTGTCGCCCTGTCGAACCACTTCCCTTATGGGTATGATAAGAGGTTGATGGAAAAGCTGTATTTTCGTTGTGCAGTCCTGATAACAGTCGGACATAGTCCTTATGTAGGACGGGTCCACTCCTTAGTCGACGAGCGCCGATAGGATTGCATTCGTTACAACACTGTCGAACGCTTTCTCATTGTCGACAAAAGTTAGGACTAGAGGCAAGTGGTATTCTCGACAAACTTCAATGACTCTAGACACGGTTTGGATGTGGTCCATGCAGCAAAATTCTTTTCGAAATCCTGCTTGCTCGACTGGTTGCGCCTCATCCAATGTCCTTGATATGCGCGAGAGGATAATCTTCGAGAAGAGCTTGTAGAGTACACTCAACAAGCATATGGGACGATAGTTACGAAGAACCCTTCGGTGGGCTTTCTTAGGCAGGATGACCGTCCTCAACTGCTCTGGGATTTTTTCCCTTTGAAGTCAAGCTCTCATATGATTTGCGAGAAGTACATGTAAATTGTGGCCTCCAGTTCTAAGGAAATCGGCAGCGATGTTATTGGGTCGTGGAGTTGTGCCTCTTTCATGCTTTCTATCGCAACTCGAACTTCGACGAAAGAATTCCAGTTAGCTTTTCTCTAGAGGGGATATTAGGGCCCTGGACGGAGATTGTGGAACGGAAAAGGTTGGTGCAGAACGTTTCCGCTATTAATTCCATATCATGGCCGAAAGTTTTGACGATCCCATCTTCGTTCATCAGGGCTGAAAGCGGAACATTATAATCACGAAAGTCCCGACGGCATTTTTCCAGACTGCTTCTTTTCTCTGCTGCTTCGAGTAGTTTCTTCTGCTTGTATCGCTGTAGATCTTCCTTCAAAGCTCTTCGGCAGCTGGCATTTATTACTAGCCATGTTAAACGTGTTGCAGTGGGATCAAGCTTCAATTTCCTTCTCTTATCGAGCAACTCCTTAGTAGTGATGGAGATGCGATGTGATCTTCTTGCTTGAGGAACTGAGGCGAATTCGGCACAGCTTTTCAGTCCCTGACAAGCAGCTCGTAGTCCCCAGTCGGGTCTTCTTTAATCTGCCAGTCACGTTTGGGCAGGACTTCGTTCAGAATGTTCTCGTCGTAAACAGCTAGACTTCTTCTTGTGGTTGATGAAGAGAGTACTTTTCCATCTGGTGCTGAATCGAATCTTCGCGCTAAGAAGGCGGTGATCGAAACCAGTATAGAATAACGGGACTACTGATGCGTCAAGCACGCACCATCTTTTGTTTGTCAGAATATGGTCGATCTCTGTATGAGCCATGCCGTTGGGAGACTCCCATGTCCAGTGGTAACTTTCCTTTCTTCTGGAAAAGCGAGTTTCCATGGAACAAATGTGCTGCAGACAACAGTCCTGCGAGACGGTTCCCCTTCTCATTTCTTTCTCCCGGTCCGAAGTTTTCGATCCTATATTGGCTGTTGTTGGCCTTTCCTATTCTGGCGTTGATGTCTCCGACAACAAATTTATGATATGCTTTATCATTGCGGATGAATTCCTCCAAATGGTGGTAGAACGCACTTAATTCGTACTTATCAGCTGAGTCGGTCGGTGAGTAGCAGTTGATAGTAGTAATCTTCTTATGATGCGACAGTTGAAGAAGGAAGACGGCTATACGAGGGGAAAGGATCACGTATGAGTCGATGAGATGGACGATGGCCGGGTGGACGACAAAGCCTACGCCACCGACATTTCGTGACGGGACCTTTTCTCCACGGATCACAACGGTCCCGTTGTTTAGTTGACGTATGTCAGCCTTCTTGATTTTTGTTTCTTGTAATGCGATCACATGAAATTTAATGCGATCTTCGGCTACAAGAAGATCGGCGTCTGTGGAGAGTGTCCTGGCATTATATTTGCATAGTAAGAAAAAATCTTCATGGCGCGTCGTGTGTGTGTTCGTCAGATCCGGTTCCAATGAGGTCCTGCGTAACCCGAGATATTCTGGCCTCTCACGGGACGTCTCGCCGCCTGACGTCACAGACGAGAACACCTAGTGTGCGGAGTACTGAGGCTGGCCTATTGCTGGTCGTACAACGTGGTCTTCCCTGGAGTCCTGACGTAACCTTGCAAGGGAGTTTGTAGGTCTTCACCACGATGTGGATAAGAGTAGGTGTGTTTTCGGCGACGCATCCTTTGCTCGGTCTTCCTATTAGTTCGTTCGCAGGGATATTAAAACCGAAATCGGAAACGAAAGTAGGAATGAAAAAGTAACAAGCCGTTCAAGGATGATGTAGAAGCCTAAAGATCCAGGAAGAAAAATACAAGTCGTAAATAACGAAAATACTTTGGATGGAACTGTTTCTCCAGATGAGAGGTATATCGAGGAAGACTCGATCGATGACAACGAGTTACTCGTCGTAAAACTTATAAGTTCTGTCGAACATGTCTCAGGTGTTAAATCAAGAAGTTCGAGTTGCATCTCCACGATCACGGAGGAGCTGGTCCAGAAGAAGAAAAAAATGTAGCTGGGACCACTAACAGCACACTTACAGGTCTGATAATAGTTTCCAGTTGCAGAAGACCTGTGCAGGACTTGTAGCGTGAATACAGAAAAAACCTATTGAAAGCAACTTAAAAAGGAACCAGTCTATGTATCATCGTCGGGACCCTCATAATAACAACGTTCTATCACGAGCCCTGATGAAGGAAGGTGAGATTACTACTGCTCCTGATTACAATACGAAACTGCTACTTAGAAGCGTCTATTACAATCTTTACGTTTAACAACACCCAGATCTTAAAACCCTCCTAGAGAAAAGGAAAAAAAGGAAGCATAATCAAAGTAAACTTCGTAACTATATCTTCATAATGATGCTGAGATATTTGCAGAAATTGGACAGCAAACCAGATTGAACCACGATTACCCTTTCCGGGAGCTCACATGTTACGCAAGGCACCACTGAGACCCTCGTCCTGGCTTTTTCTCAGCCAGTCTTTTTATTCTAACTGTGCCATCAGCAATGAACAGTTAACGGCAGTGATATGGGGAGTACAAATTGGCATTAAACTCAGTTGCGGTGAAGATTGAAACCAAAATATATAATGCCAATTATTTTCCGTGGCCGGGTCCTACGTGAAATTCGTGAGCCCCGGAAACGGTAATCGCGTTGCGATCTGGCCTAGGGTCCAAGTTTTACAAATATCTCAGCATCACTGTGGTTGTATTTCACATAATACCACTCGTGAAAAAATATAGGCAGTAGATCACATTTATACATTATACCTCCATAATGTATTTGTTGAATATACTCTACAAACTCGTGAAGGATAGCATTCTATCGTGAAACTTTCGCCGAAACTCAGTCTGTTGAGGAAACTGGATTCCAACATGGCTCTGATATATTTATCGACATCCAAACCATAGGACTATAGAATTCTGTCGAGGACACCACCTGCCCTTTGGTCTAACATTTGTTGAATAGAAAAAGCGTCCGTCGAAACGAATGTCATTCCACCGAGGTTCGCTAGCCAAGGAGTGGACCCATCGTATGTAGGGGTTTTCCAGCTGACTGGTGTTGCAAATTTTTATAAAAATACAGCCCTCGCACAGATCTTAGTAGTCCACAGAAACGAGAACAATAAGATGAAAAAAAATTTGCCGAAAAAATAAAACTGCGAATAAAGCGAAAGAAGAGCCAGTGGTTGAAAATAATAGGTAGTCGTTGACCGATTGATTACACAGACAAAATCATAAGCAGATATATGGCGTTCAGTGGACATGGAAACCGTCCGGGGAATCGTGCTGAAGAAGCCACCGATTAAAAGAGACTCAGAAGTTCGTGCTTACATTTTTGACCCAAAGGCGACGGCTACATCAAAAATCTAAGCATCACAGACAGTAAGTTTAAGTGAATTCTCATAAATATAAATTTCACACACAATAGCTAGCCTAATAACGGAGTTCAGACCTTACAAACCCAACTCGTCATCGACATTTAATGAAATTTACACCGGCAGTGAAACACAGACGGGGCACAAATGTAATAAGGAAAACTGACGATGACTGGACGATAAGTACGGTAGAATAAGTTCTAATAAGATGTAAGTCTAGTTTCGAACAATATAGGTGGAAGTATTTGAAAAACACATCTCAGACGTATTTACAGTTGTAGAAGATTCGTGTAGAGCGGAACTGTACTTGCAGACCTCATCAAACAATAAAGAGATTAACGGACGACGACTACTGAGGAGAGAAAAGGATGCAAAATGTACTGGTGCTCAAGTGACTCGAAAAAACGTGCCTATTTAATCATTCATTAAAAAATGAAGAAAAATAGCATATTTATATATTATTTTCCACTTCACATTATCGACCAGCATATTTACCGTGCGGACCCCAACAATTCAACCCTTCTGTTCGTTTTCTTGCTTTGGTATTCCACTTAGGTCTTCCGATTTTTGCGCAGCGGCTCGTCTGCTGCTTTCGGTTTTAGTTTTCGTGGTGAATGTTGTTGAAAGCTGGTCAAATACATTCACCATGGAATCGTAATATAGCCAAGCTCCGGCGTTACCACATATTCCTCATGCTGTCGCCACATTTTATAAACTGTAAGAAGCGAGCTGATTCAACACAAGACTGGCAACTATTTCGAGCAGGAATGTGAACTTGGTTATCTAGTGGAAATTCAGCCAGGACCTTGCGCTTATCGAATGCGTCCTACTACAACTTCGCTACTCGTGCCAAAGCATCTATGGGGAGTTGACATTCGAAGCTTTTAGCGAAGCCATGATCTCCAATCAAAGATAATGTCATAAAGTACTTTAGATAAAATCTTAGACATCTAAACGTCTAAATGAACGATTTAAAGGTGTACATAACTAGTGTAAGCCACAGCAGAATCAAAAAGTAATTCCAGAAAATGCCCGAACACCTTCACAGGATTTTGATGTGACTGCAACGGTAATTCGCTTAAAATTAGAACTCCTCAAAACAAACATCCCGAACAAAAATGTAGTGCTAATAAACCAGGTTAGTGATACGATAAATGGAAAAGTCGTTAAGCTTATGCAGTTTGAAAGTGAGTGCCATACATTTAGTGGTGTCTTTGCACGAAAAAACCACTTCATTTGTTAAAAAAATTACTTGAGCGAGCAGTGTTGACGTTTCGGTGGTGGAGAGCAGAATGAGGTTGTTCATTGAGGACGACTGGCTGATAGCATCCAGCTGAAAATGGCAAAAATTTCGTCCATTTCCGAAAAAAGACACTTAAAACACACGAATTCGCCTGTCCTCATCATTAACGGAAACTTTCTTCAAATGAATTGTTATTCCCCACTATCTCATTGACGAACACTCGTAGGACTTCACAACGTCCAAATTTTTATTTACTCCCTCTTCTTCTTTCACTTCAGGGTACTATGTGGAATGCAATCACAAGGGTGATAAGATAAGAGTAAAACTCAGAACTTCAGCTAGGCTTCGAATTTGCAAGAACTCTTTCCGGGCTTTCACGTGCTGTGCATTACACTAACAAGGACCCTTTCCTCGCCTTTCTTTTGGTCATTTTTTCACTCTATCGGCGATACCAACAATTACCTGTGAACAAGAATTATTTTGGGAGCATAAATCGGCATTGAACCTTATCAAACTGAAGCTGCAGTCAAAATCAAAATGTAGTAATTTATACCTATTGGGAAACATGACTAAAAGGAACCAAACCGAGAGCCTCGGTTGGTGTGGTACATAGCACCGCTAAGAGTAATCTCGAACTCGAAGCCCAGCTAAGGTTCCGAGTTTTGCTCACATTTTAACATCGATGTGGTTGTACTTAATCGGTACGATTGTTTTTTGCTTCAGTGCAAAAACTTCCGTGTCTTTTTGCTATCGCTGCATTTTAATCTTAGTTTTCGAATTTTCGTGTGATCTCGAGTGCTCATTGAAGATTTTGTTCTATTGTATTCTCCATGAATGCTGGAATAGTGGTGGTAGGACGGCCCATCTACCACAGAAAGTCGCATGCTTTTCGTACTCGGAGGATGTCTTTCTTGACAAGTCTAGCGAGAATTTTCCAAAGTTGGAGAGATCAGAAACCTGATTACCCTGGAGAATTAGTGTATTGCAAGGCATTTCTGTGCATCATATAACAGGATACATCCTCTGTAGCGAATAACTTGCTCATACCACTGATATGGTAAGAACAGCTAGTGAAAAAGACGAATGCAAGATCTTGGTGTCCAACTATGCACACGCTTTCCTGACTTTTATCTACTTCTCCCCTTTTGCTACTTTGATTGTGAGACTATTTGGGGAAAAATAAAGACGCTACTCACCTGTAACCGCGACCCTTCATCCAAAAACTCGTCCATTTTTGCCAAACTGCTACTGGCTGAAGCAGCAGAAACATCTAGAAGCATCGAGGAAAGCATGCAAACACCTTTTTTGCACCAGGAATTGGCCTGAACTGAGTGAACTATACGCATTCTCTGCGACAAGCAAATATATCACACGGGTAGGCTTTTCGCATCCCTTGTAAATATAATGAGTTCTCTGAAATAGTTCCCCTCATATCTTTAACTGTCATATCCATAATCATACCTGGTCCTTGCCGAATAAGAATAAACATTGAGAGCTTCCTTATGAATGCTATTTTAATGAAAATAGTTCCATTCAACAAATATAGGAAAAAAAGAAATATAAAGAGCAAAAGTTGTTAAAAATTCTTTGCTTCCTGTCAACTGAATTTAATGCGAAATTAACAGAATGTGTAGGCTTACATGTGAAATCTGTTCGTGCATGCCCACGCTCATTCGTAACACCGTAGCTCGTCTCTGGAGTGCTCCATTGAGAGCGTCTGCCATCCGTTCTAGTTCGTCACATTTTGGCAACAAGCTTCCCATAATCTGAAAAGGACAACACTACAGCTGACCACTGATACTATAACCCGTAAAACAGACCGAACTCCAGACCATTATGACTCATTATGTGAAAATGAGGCTCAATTGTATTCGAGTATTTGATCATCGGGTTTACAAACGAGCACAAACACTTACCCCGGCATCATTTGCAGAAATTAACTCTTCACCAGCATTCTTTAACGCTTTAGCAGCTGTTATATCCTCCTAAAAATGGCTGCTCGTTCTAAAGAAAAATCTGAAGAGAAAGGAAAAAAAATTATGCGCAAACGATAGACTCCAACTAGTACGGCTCAGCTCAAATTAACACTTTGTTAGGAACGAACAATTATTAAAGTACTCAAAAAGACGATGAGAACAAACTAAGAATACAAGCCAGATTGCTTTCAAATTTCTTTTGTATCCCACAGTTTTTCGTGATACTACATGGTATGCTTTAGATGGCAGCTAGACGATTGACGGTGCATGAAAAGCGCCAAAATGCTTGTTCTGAGATGACGATTGAACTGAAAGGAATCCCAGGCATCAAGCGCAAAAATAAAGGCTCGAATATGAAGAGTGCGGTGACATGCTCCGTGCTCCTCAAGTGAGCGGACTCTAGTCATTCAGTGATCATAGAAGCTACAGGTGGTACATGAGCAAGGCACGGTTTTTGTTCTTACCCTCTTCCCTCGTAAATGTTATTAACTATTTCCACTTTTTTTACACTCTTATAAAACTGCTATAGGCCTCACCTGTACAGGTGAAGTATTATTTCACACAATGAAGAAGTCAATGCAATTCTAAATGTCAATAAACGACCACTAGTGGTAACCGATTTGTATCAATTTCTTTTTTCGAACGCAGCTCAGCAATATTTTATACTAAACAATAAAATCAAAAATAGAAAGTGAGCTCTTCAACTGATAATATTCCTGAAGAAAGAAAGACGAGTATCTGTAGTAGAACACCAACCAAGACCGCTTTCGTATACTGTTCGTGTTGTTCAGCTAGAATTTCGGCAGCTTGAACACTGTCACCAATAGCCCGATGCTCTTCCAAATAGAGTAGGTGACGAGCAAACGACGATTGAAGCTGGAAATCATCTTATTTATGCTCAGTTTTCATTTTATCTGCAGTTATTTCAGTTCTGAGTGTTACACTAACCATAAACAAACCATCTATATAGTGGGAAAACAGGAACGAATAAAATCTAAAAAAAATAAATGAAAAGTCAGTACTTAAAACTAAATTCTATTCAGTTTTCATTTCGTCGTTTTCAGATCTCTCCATAAACCTATTTCAGGTGCTTCGTGAAAAATGACCAGCTTTCAGCCGGTCTCTCTTGAATAGTGTTAAGCTCCCGTACATTCCCACTTTAAAAACTTTCCAGAAATGACTGTGTTTATTTAGCTACTGAAACTGCCCGCTCTTGGCACATAGTATTCAACCCTAACACGCCTCTCAAATACTACATGAGCATGGAAGGCACAACTTGTAGCATAAAGGAACACAATGCCGTGTAGAGGGAAATAGAAATTTGCTGCACTGAGCTAAATGCACTCGCTGCACTTTTAGCAATACCCACACTGTGAGAGGAGATGAAATTTATAATGTAACCACTTTTTACTTACTCCCTCGTATATCATGGCTGGGTATGACATTAAATACTACTACAACGATGCTGAGATATTTGCAAAAGTCTGGATCGCAGGTTTCTGCGGCAGGGATCGAACGTGCAATTACCCTTTCTGGAGTATAACGTGTTCACCACCACGCTATGCGGGTCCTTCGTTCCGTCTTCCTCATAAGTGGAAATCATCAGAAAGAATAAGTATCGAAACTTTAAGTAAAAACCATGATCACACCGACACAAAAGAGTTTGGTAAGGAGAACACGATTTTTTCGATTAACAACTCCCATACAGGACGAACATAACATTTACTACTGCTTAAAAACCTCAAAGAAACCGTCAACAGTTAAAGAAAAAGGAGCGATAGAAACAGACAATAAAATAAATGGATATATTGCATTATTGATAAACATATACGAGATTGTCACAGAGTCTTCTTGTGTCCAACGTTTCTGTGTTCACAACCATGTAGGTTGAAAGCAAGGGTTTAAAGTTCTTTAAAACATTCACAGGATAGATAAGCTCATACGAAAGAACACACTTTTCCAAAGTTGTTATCTAAAACCAGCCCCATCAAAATACCAGTTCCAAGTGCATCGTACTCATATTGAAGTGCCATATATTCAGAACCAGTGAAAAATATGACAACAAATCAAAATGTCTTGAAGGAAATCTTAATTAAAGTGAACTGGGTAGACCTGAACTTGCACAGGTAATAAAGAAATCGGTCAGCAATCGACGGCTGACACTCGAATGATAAGTTTACGCGCGAATAACAGATACGAGACCTTGGCCCAAAGCAATTAGCTCAAATGCTCATGTTCATCTGAGTTCTACAAACGAAAAGAGATCAGCTGGCTCCTAAACGTGGTAGTGTGTTCATCTGACCATACGAAAATGAAAAGGCCAAGCAATAAAATTTCACAAAATATTTGGATGTTGTTAATGGTAATGGTACGCAAAAATTACAAGTTTCGAAATTCAAAATCATCTATCAACCGCAGTCCCGTTAATCGTAATTTGACTCAAGCCGAAGTAAGTAAATCTTCTATCTTTTCCTTCGCATGCAAGCGTAGCCCAGTGGGTTGTGGTCGTCCTAGGGACTCGTTGAGCACCATGCCTTTCTTCCACGCATTTTGAGAAAAACTCTGACCATCGGGTCGGTGGTCATCCTGCAGTACTTTTGACATCCCAAGGAATCTTGTCACTCATGGCTCTTGTCCATCAGTTGTCGCTTATTTGCATTAGGTGTCCGCCCTACTTTATCTTCGACAGCTTGGCGTAGTGACCGGCTTCTTTGAATTTTGATCGTTTAAACAGATCAGAGCTACGGATCGCTTCCTTCATTTGTGTGACAGACACGGAATAGTCCTAGCGTCGTCCTTTCGACTGCGCATTCAACAAGACTGAGCGATCTTTCATCTTACTTACGCAGCGACTAGGTTTCTGACTCATAATGACTTATAAGTTACAGTAGGAAGAATCGTGGAGTCGAAAAGGTAGGCATAAAGCCGAGTTTTCCTTGTTCTCTTCATTACATCGTCGACGCTCTTGAAAGTTCCTCAAACTACGCGTTTCCTCCTGCTGAACTGTGGAGCTAAGTCGTTCATCACGTCAATTTCTCGATCTAGATAGACGTAACTAGAGCAATCAGAGATGTCAATCTCGTTGAACGTGAATGGAGCATATGTAACCAACCCGTTTCTCATCAGTATCGTTTTTGTGAGATTTAGTCGAAGACCAATCATTCTGCAGGCCTTATCAAAGTCGACAATCATTCGACCCGCTTGGATAACGTATTGTGCTATAAGAACGATGTCGTCAGCAAAGCGAAGATAGCAATTTTCACTGCAATGTTGTCCCACTCCAGAAGACAAAATCTATGATTTAATAGGATGTGGTCTATTTAGTTCTGGCACTCTCCACTAGGAGACTCCCATGTTCAGCATAATCGTTTCGTTCTAATCCCTTGGTCCCAATGTGGAAATTTTCAGACGCTCCTCTGTGTCGAATCTTAGCACTGAAATCTCCTGTGATAACCTTGAAGAATGTATGGTGTTCTCTATAGAACTTCCCCAAGTCCATATAGAACTGTTCAACCTCTTCTTCGTTATGGCTTGATATCAGTGCGTAAACGAACAAGCTTGTCAAAGCCGGTATTGATCCAAATCCCTTCTACCCGCAATGAATATTCAGTACGAATTCCACTTGAAAATTGCACGGTGACAAAATCCACATATTACCCAAGCAATTTCGTCTTTCGAAACGCGACATGCTGTGTAATCGGTAAATAACCCTACCGAACCAGGTCTTCTGAAGATCGAACCATAACAGTTGAAGAACTAACCGTCAGTCCTCACCAGTAAACTGGCACTGGTGCTTTTTCATCCTTCGTCAAAACTCATGGCTTCTAGTGAATGAGAAACCAAAAGGACACAAGTGGAAGACATGATTTCATTAAGTACCGACTAATTTTTTGCTGTCCTTCGTCCATAAGCACTTTATTCGAATTATCCTTAACAGCAATGTCGGAACATTGAAAGAATAACAGCCATGAATCAAAATGAGTTTCGAAGAAAGTTCAATCCGATGAAACGTATTCATTCCACAAAAACACAGACTGAAGCACTGCGTGAGTTGAAGAAACTCCTTTGTTTTAAGTTCATCGACTTAAAAAGCCTTGGACTCAGTTCGTACAAAAAAAGATACGCTCACGTTGTGGTTAAAGCTGTATCATTCTAAAGCGATACAATTGCCAGTGCAGAGACAGAAATACGACAAGACAACACCTGCTATTTACAGTCACTCAAGGGAAGGTCTTGAGAAAACTAGAACGGGGTAGTGCGAGTGAGAGTCGATAGATGGCTTCGTTTTGCTGGTACCGTTGTTTTTGTAAATTCCAAGCAATAGCTAAGGGGAATGAATGCTGTGCGATTTCACAAACGTTTATGGAGAAGTTGATCATCAACTGAATACCGATAAAACAGTGTTCATGGAAATCACACCTATTTGTGGAGCGCTATTCATAGGATCAATCCCTGCTAAGCAATTGACAGATCTTATCTTTGCCATCCTTATTATGAACTATAAGCATAGTATAGAAAGTGGCAGATATAAACAATCCATTTAAATAACGAAATATACTCCACATAAGCTGTGATGCCGACTATCGCAGGCCAACAGAAAGGCGGTAGGATGGTGGACGAGCCTCTTCTTCAGTACAGACAAGAGTTTAGTATGTTCCGAAAGCATGGGAGAATATGAAGAGCAACATATATAGATCGTTGTAAAACGTTTAACAAAAGGGCGGAATTAGATCGACTGGCATGGGTTTATATCAACTCAGAGAGGCACGGCGAAGAAATTAGGAGCTGAACTTAAGTAATGATCGGAAAAAATGTACCTTTCGAAAGGTTTCTTCAAATTGTCGCAATTGAAAGCAATTCATGAGACGCTTTTCATGATTCGCCCAATATGCATCAAACGATCGCTCCGTCTCCTCTAAAGCACATTAAAAATAAACAAAAACACGTATTATGAAACAAATGTGACTAGGTCAATCAGAATTTAAGGTTCCTAGATAATGGAGAAGCAACAAAACTGTGTAGTTAAACGATTAGGGAGACATCGGTGAATAATTCTGATGCCTTTCTTTACAAGTTTTTCGTATAAATCACTCTACATAGCTATGAGAATCTATTAGAAGAAACGGCACTAATTCACCTTGCAGAATTTTGAAAGTTGTTTACCACTGTTTACCAAACAGAACTGAGTGAAGTATCGCCACTTCTCATTCTCATCTACGTAGCACTTTCAACTCATTTCAGACAGAAAGGGCACAAAGGGTTCCACCAAGCGAGGCGTCCCTGTTAGGCTAAGAAGAACCTTCATGAGTGCTGTAGTAAAATGACAACCAGAATTTCATCAATAAACAATGATATGATCACCAGACTAAAGTGGAAGGGATTCGGCAATGCAACACCATTTTGTCAAAATTATTTACAGCTCCCAAGATCGACTTTCTATTAACCTCGGCTTTGGAATAACATCCTCGCGATTGCTGGAAAAGAAAACGACAGATTTATAATCCTTTCGTTCAAATTTTCATCTTTCTGTTCTGCTTCTGAAGATGGCTATTCTGCCGAAACAGATGCCGTTGTGTTGTATGAGTGTTATTGTATGGAAGTAAACGTATGCCGTTTAATAACCTCGCGACTGCTGAGAAAGAAAACGACAGATTTATTATTTACAGCCACTCTATTTCTCGAGAACACAATACTGAAATTGGAATGAGATAAAATACAGTGAAACTGTGACATAAGCACAATCGTGAGGAGATATTTGCAAAACTCCAGACCTCAAGTGTCTGCGGTGGGGAACAAACGCGCTACTTACTACGTTTTCCGGGAGTAGCGCTTTCACCACCACATCATGCGGATCGTTCGTTTCTCCTGTCTCTCAGCTAGTCCTATCGACCATCAGCACCCGTGAACGGGATTGATCTGAGGAGTCCAAACTGGCATTAAACACAGTTAAGTTGAGGCTGTA